GGTGATAATTGTCAATAAATGAGAGAGAAAATTAACGTAATATGAAAAGAATAAGAAGGGTTAGGAAAATTTTCACATTACCCTAGGCATAAAGATTACCAAGGTAAATTCAAGGTTATGACAAATTGTTTCTGCACACATAAGGGGGGTTTTAATTTTCTAATAGCCAAGGCCTCCATAAACCTCAAAATTCGTCCTTCAAATTTTCTATAGAATTTTTCGAAGACTGTCTTGATGACAGTCTTATGTCCTGTCTCAATTATGTGTTTTGCGATCGATGAACACGGTTTTTTATTTCCAACGCTAATCTGCTCGTCTGACTTTGTAGCCACTTAGGTACATGTCCCATAACCCTTGATGGCAAATTCCGATAACTCCTCCCTATATCTCCTATACAGAGTAAGCTTATTGATGTGCTCATTCCACAAATTTTCAGCATGTGCCATACAAACATCAATTAAGAGAGGTCCCAAAGGACTACCCATAACAACGCCATCAACTTGCTGGAAATGTTCATTATCAAACGTGAAATTAACTTCTCAGTACATAATAAAATTAATTCTTTTAATAGAGTTGACTGAATGGGAAAAAGAGGGAAGTTACTTAGTGTATAGTCACAAAGAAAGTTAACATCTTTCATTAGGGGAACATTGGTAAAAAGAAAGTTTACATCAAAAGAGTGTATAATATTTCCTTGAGTACTAATGTCGTGATGGAAGTTTTAAGAACATGCTTTCGATGGTTTTCGTAGAATTAAGATCGGACAGGTAGTTCATTTGTGTGAGCGTAAGCCCACAGATATACATCTCATGGGCTAGCCTTCTTAAACTTTTTGAGTCGGTCTCCTTAATAGCAGGAAAGTTCAACATCTTGTCGATAAATACACGGGCAACTACGTGATTCTGACCGAATGCTTCCTTAAGAAGCTCTAACGCTTTACGATAACCTTCCGGTTGAAGCAATGTACAATGAACAATGGTAGCCTTAGCTTCACCATCACAAGATTGAATCAAGTAGTTTAACTTAGATCGAGGTCCGACGCTTTCATCAAAACAATCCTCGAAATTTCGTATGAAACTCCAGTAGTTCACAGGATTACCATCGAACCTTATGATTTCTCGCTTGGGTAGGTCTAAAGCTTTAGATATCATTCCTACCCAGCCCTTTCCTGCGCTATCAGCTGTACGTGAAACGGATGTAGATTCGAGCGACATAACCTTTTCATCCTGAATTTGGTCACAATATTCTCTTCCTCTTTGCCGTAACCGTTCTAACTCAATTTCCTTTTCTATATCAGCTAAACGTACTTTAGCTAATTCTAATTCTAACAAAGGATCCATTGAGGGGCCATTTCTTCCAGACTGGTCTTCCCCATGAGTTTCTGAGTAGTGTTGATACAATTCAGGAATCTGATCAGTCTTATGATCCTCCGTAGACATTTGAAGGTATTCGGTATATGAACTTCTAATGAGATACTGGTTGAAACTTTGTAGGATTTAATTTGGCCTACAGATGTAATTCTAAACTATAAACGCAAATACTGTTGATCACGGAGTCGACAGTAAAATCAAAACGATGAAAACTTGGTTTTAAACTTTATCTGTTTCTAAACAAAAAAAAGAATGATTAAGTTAGTACAATAAATAAGGAAACTATAATTATCAATTAAGATGAGCAAACGTAACAACCAGTATAGCGTGTCTTTAGAAAAATGAATAAAAACATGAGTCACAGCAATATAAATAAAATAAAAACATCCCTCAATCGATAGGTCATTCACAACAAAGAAAGTTTATAGACCGGTCAGACTAGATAACGTGGTGAGCGCTCAACCAATCTGATTGTTTAGTTATGACATCACTACAATTAGTTATAAAATAACTAACAAGCACATCAGTAAGCTTACTCTGTATAGGAGATATATGGATGATATTTTAATTATATGTGATAAAGAACTCAACGTCTCTCAGTTACTGGAACACTTCAGTTTTCTTCAGAATGACATTGTACTAACCTATGAACCAGAAAATAATAACTGACTGCCCTATTTAGACATACTGTTGAGTTGAAGGGAGAATGGTACTACAAAGCGTTCTGTTTATAAAAAACCAACCTGGACAGCAGATTTATTTCCACCACAACATAAGCGAGGTTTCGTAAAATGCTTCTTCAATAGGGCTCAAAGGATTTGCACCACAGATTTATTTGAAGTCGATGCAAAATTCTTAACTGAAGCATTGATTTCATACGGCTATCCGCTAAAGTTCATCAATAGGTGTAGAAATCAGTTAAGACAAAAGCCTGCTTTTCATTCTGCTGAGAAGAAAAAGGTTTATATCACTTTACCATTTAGAGGCGAAGCAAATGGTCTGATCTTAAGACAAAGACTAAAAGCAGCCATATAGAAAACACACAACGCTTCTTAACTGACTATTACTGAAAAGAGTAAGCCCACGATTCCACATAGATCTAAACGTTGCTCCAATGATTTCATCACATCCCGCTGTGATACCTGTGTAGTTCTCACACTTTCTGAGATCGTATTTCTTTGGTATTTTAATGAGGCATACTTCTTTCCAGTCCGTTCATAATTGTTATTCACCCTGAATCGTCTTGAAGAGAGTGTGGAGTATTTTTTCAGTTGCTGCCAGGTCTGCTTTCATTGCCTCTGCTGGAATGTCGTCTGGTCCTGCTGTTTTGCCGCTCTTGATTTATTTGAAGGCTATGCTGATCTGTTCATTTGTTGGTGTGCTAACATTTGATTGAGTGGTCCGTAGATGCTGCTTCGATATTGGGTGGGTTCAGTAGAGCTGGTAGATTCAAGAGTTCCTTGAAGTGCTCTACCCGCCCGTTTCGCTGTTCTTCAGCGTTGCTGGTAACATCACCTTCCCTGTTTTTCACTGGTGGTTCTGGCTTACCAAAGTTTCCAGCGCGCTTTTTCGTTGAATCATACAATTTTCCCATGTTTCCTACTCTTGCAGCCTTTTCCGCCGTCGTTGCTAGATTTTGCACATATTTTCATGCGTCAGCTGTGATGCTCCTCTTCATTTGCTTGTTTGCTTCTAAGAATTCAGCTTATGCCTTAACTTTCTCTGCTCTTGTTCGGCTGACATTGATTGCTGCCCTCTTGTTCCTTCTTTCTTCAATTTTTTCAAGAGCACCAACAGAGATTCATTCCTTGTAATGGTTCCTCCTGTGGCCCAGAACCTCATGACATGTCGAAGTGATTGCTTCCCTTTCCAATTGTTCTCCTCACCGTTTGAAATATCTCACAAGGACTGAAACCTATCTGAGGGCAATCGTTAATTCATTCAGTTTTACAGTATCCCGAAGAAAGGCCGTATTAAACTTGTGCGATGTTTTCTGCCCCGTTATACAGTGCTTCTTTAGTTTCAGTTTCATTTTGCCGATCAGCAAGTGATGATCTGGGGCTATGTCAGCTCCTCTCTTTGTTCTCAGATCCTCCATGGTCCTTCTGAACGTTTTGTTGATACAGTTATGGTCAATTTGGTTTTGAGTAGTGTGCTCCGGTGGCTTTGTGTAGGCCTTTGTGTGGGAATATTGTTCCTTCGATGATCAGTTTGTTCAAGGCACATAGTTTTGCAAGTCTCTCACCGTTTTCACTCCTTTCTTCCAGTCCATGTCGTCTCATGGTGTATTCATATCCAATGTCGTCCATGCCAACCTTGGCATTCAGGTCTCCCATCTGAATGGTCAAATCCTTTGGTGAGCATCTGTCGACGATTGACTGCAGCCTATCGTAGAATTGATTGTTAACATCGTCAATGGGTGCATAGCAATGAATGACGTTCATTGTAATGTCCTCTTTCTTTGTTTTGAAGGATGCTTTAATGATTCTTGGTCCATGAGATTCCCATCATATCGGTGCCTTTTTGCTTGAATGGACAGCATCAGTGCAACTCCTTGTGTATGTGAAGCATTTTCTCTTCATGAACAGAGTATAACAGCACTTCCTCTGAAACTAGTCTCAGTTGTCCAATCTGCGTTCATTGTGTTTCAATGATTGCAAGCTCCTCCAGGTTGTATCTTTACATGTCTGCAGTAACTTGAAATAATCTTCCAGATTCCCACAGTGTTCGAAAGTTCCATGCACATAAAAGAATGGTTGCTCTAGTTGTCAGAAGAGGCCTCGGCCTCGTGACCTCCGAAGTAACTCAGCTTCAGCACGAGACATCATGATTCTTCTTACAACTCGCAGAGCAGAGTTAAAATGGTCTGATTTATTTTTTCTGGTTAGCCTTATTGTAAGTTAGTTTAGTTCTGCATGATATCATTGAGATAATCTAGCAGGCATGTATCACTTGGCCTAGACCCTAAGAACCCGTTCTGTGAGTAAAATATCAGATTGTTATGATGTAGGCGTTGTATTACTGCCGCCTTTAGTACTTTCGCCATCATCCTAGATCCTACAGAGGTAATGTTTAGGGGTCGATCATCCTCAATATTCTCTGTGGCCTCAGATTTAATTGTGGGGATGATATGTATAGTGTTTAAGTTATAAAGATAACACTCTGTAGAGAGTGATGTGGTAAATAGTTTCAGAGGAATAACACATAGATTATTGCTCCAATTTTTCAGAATGCTAGCTAGGATACCATCTGATACTAGAACTTAAGAGTGTTTCAGCGTACTAATCGCCTTAAGTGTGTTATGTACATTGAAGTGTACACAAGTAATTTCACAGGAAGTCACTGGTTTCAAGTTTCTAACTGCTGCATTGAGTAATGTCTTTCTGCATAACTTGACGAAGTAATGAAAACCTTAACTGCGCACTCGCTTGGGAATATCATCATATAAAACCTTTAAATTGGAACACCAATGCACTTTCTTTTGTTAATGTAGAGAATAAGCAGAAGTGTTCACATTTCCTCTGAAACTGTTTGAAAATTGAGTTAAAAATGATAAATGCAGTTGAACGATAAATATTTGTTTTTCTGTATCAAATGTTTTGATTACTATACCAACGGTCAGGATTGGCCATGGTATGAAATCATGATTTATTTAATTTAATACTTTTTGAATTCTAGCCTGCAAGCAGCTTTGTGAGTGGTGGGACACGCAATCAAAGTTTCAACTCTTCCAATTCATCGCATTCTAAACGTTCTAAAACGCTATCGTATCGTACAATAAGTAGACATTCCAACGTTGATGAAAACTTATTTGGAGTCCCCTCTTATGTGCAAAAACAACAGGTGACCGGATTTGAAATACGTTTTAATTTCTATAGAGCAATCTAACGGATCAGAATAATGTTGATGTGAAAGCATCTGATAACAAGGCAAAAGTATTTGGACCAGGTTTATTACGGGAAGACTATGAGCGAGAGAAAGAAAACCATCAAAGAAAAAAAATAAAACATCTTACATCCGATTTAATCCGCGATATCATGTAGGTTAACTGTGATCTAATTAAGCTTTTCAGAATACCTTCAGATAACGTTAGCGAGAAAATGATCCCCATATCACTAGAAATATACAATGAACATATCCAAAAGGATAAAGTATTGCCAAACAAGGAGGAACGCACTGGTACTGAACAAGATGTATCTGCATATAGAATACTTCTGGTAAGATAAAGATTTGCTGATGTATATTTAGGATTGTTTTTTTGAAATTTATTTATCAGCCTTAGTTAATATCACTAATTTATCCAATAAATTCTAATTTCACTAGTTTCGTTCCCGAAAAGGCGATAAACACCGTCATGCTCACAACGTAAAATAAACCTACAACTAATAAGGCATCTCATCTTAAAATGTAACTAGAGAATCTTTAGTTTGTTTCGAAAATGACCCATTCTATTCATTGAACGAACGTGATAATGGTAATTTGACATTTTCATTCAAATCCATTGTAATCCTTGATATTCGGACAAATGTTTAGCCTCTGAAAGAATACGGTGGACAAATAACATTTTGACAAATACACAATAACAATAGCGGTATGTACAAGAAGGTATTTACTAACTGCTTACAATCAACTGACTTGGAATAGTTAAAACGCAAAATATACTACTTAGTAATTTCTAAAAGCATATAAAAATGATGCCGATAAATGGTGTTAGTTAGTAATTAGGAAAAATATTCATTGCCTACCAAGTATACAAAGTATTACTTTATAACAGAAATCCTTTCCCCAGTAAAACTATTGTGCGTTCATTTGTGGATATGATTTAAACTTCTGAATCAAAAATACCGGTTTGATCTGAGGTCCACTTACTGTAACAGTTGTCAGCTAACCTACAGTTGAAAAGCCGCTGTGAGATTCACAGTTGCATCTTCTTTGTATTGCAACAAATACAAATGTTAAAATTGAAATTGTTTTAGCAAAAATACTATTTCAATCGTGTTTTGTGACATTCAAGATGGTTTCATTCAGAAAACTTGTGAACGATTTCGTTGGTTGAAATTATACATTTGCATATCACTCAGGATCTTATTAAAGTCTGAAATGTGGTTCACCATGAGCGGTCACGAATTCTTATTTCTCGATGGTTATTCAAAAAGATTTAATTGCTCAATATAAGCATCTGCCTTTGTTTATCGGATTTCACTGATGGAGGTTAAATAGTTTTCAATTATGTACTATAAACAGTAATAATTGTAAAACCACTTGATATATTAAAAACATTTTATCCTACACATGACCACTGAAAACTAACATAACTATCTGTACCCGAACAGCTACTTAAAATGTTTTTTGAGTCGAATAACAACTTTTTATTTACAAATATTACTAAAACCTGAACCACCCTCACACGGATATACTAGTATGTCTATATGGCAGTCAACGGTGTAAATTTATAAAATAATCTTTTTCTGTTTTAGAGCATGATTACACGACTTGAGTAGCACAATGTAATGAACGGTATTCTTTTGGAAAATCCCAAACTTAAGCCTTAAAATGATCTTTATGAGGTTGAAGTAGACATAATGTTGACGTTTATGGTCTAGTGTCATATTTTGGAATTTCAGTGGAAAGGTAATATTTTAACTTCTAATCTATAAAATAACTTTGGTATTTAGTAATGTGCATTGTTTTTTTTTTCATAGGAAGAAGTGGAGCAACGTAAACAGAAAATGCGTGAATTTGACTTGAATCGTGTGCGCAATGAACGGCTTACAGATTTGGAGGAAGAAGCAAAGAAACAAGCGGAAAGTTTGCTACAAAAAGCTTTGGAACAACGACAAGATCAAGAAGATGAGATAAAAGCCCTGAATGAATGGATATTAAATGCTAAAATACAAGCTATAAGAGATGAACAAATTTTAGAAAAAGAGTTAATTAAAAAAGAAATGGCTGAAGAGGAACTACGCTTGGATAATATGATGGAGTTAGAAAGACAAAATGCTATACACATACAGGAAGAGATAGATAAGAAACGTAAAGAGCAGGTAGTGGATTTGTTCGAGCTTTTTCTTTCGTTGATCTAGAGATTATTTTAGTTAGCTAATCTATTAGAACAACCAAATTATCAATCAGAGTTAGACATTGACACCGTTGGATGCCGGCCCAGTGGTCCAATGGTTAGGCGTTCGCGCACAATACCGAAGGTCCCGGGTTCGAATCCTGTGAGGTGCAGGCGTCGTGGATGCGCACTGCTGATGAGTCCCATACCAGGACGAAACGGCCGTCCAGTGCTTCCAGGTTTCTAATGGTGTTCTAACAATGATTGATTGGTGATTTCAACTGTGTAAATGTCACAAATCTCCAAAGCTCTAACTGAAAATATCATTGCTATTCTGTCATTCACCAAACTTGTCTTAGAAACGTATCTCTAACAATTTAGAACATGTTCATGTTCAATACCTCTGATATTCTATCAATAAGACAAGCAAGATATTATAAAGTGATGCGAAATTGCTAACAAATGCAACTATAGATAAGACCATTATTAAACATTTCAGTAAAGCGAAAGTTCCGATAATTGTTACTGTTCTTTTCTGAGTTACTAACAACGTCACAGTTTTTGTCATGCAGTCGATAGACCGTGTGAATCTGCACTCACTCAAACCTCCCGTCAGCATACTAGAAAACCAGATGTGTGGTCACAAGAATCGTTTATTAAGTAATCTTATAATTCAAGTGATTATGTGGATAAAACCTGTGACTGAAACGTACCTCATCTAGTAGATGTCAGTATGAACATAACCAGACCATTTTTGATTCAAAGCTGAGGAAAAAAATTTGTAAACGACTGAAATTTATTAACGGCAAGTGATATAGCGATAATTATTAAATGGAAAGATATCCTCATTAGAAATCTATGCAAATATTATGAAACAACATCACTAAACCTATATATCAAAAGACTCAACGAAAAGTGGAGACCAAAGTTTTGTATTTCCCTTTACTCGCTTCCTGCTAACAGACTGAAGAAGAATGCAGAAAACAATCACTACGCGTTTCATGATTGTTTATTTTCTACACAAATGCGATGAAATATATAAAACCCATAAAAAGTATGAAATTTTTTAAGCACAAACCTGGAAATACATCGAAGATTATTGTGTTTGTTTTTTTCACGGTCTTTTACTCCACAATAACGTCAAGAAAATCATAATTGTTTAGAAAACCGGACAATTTCAAGAAAACGACCTTGGACAGCATGTTAACAAATTCTTTATAAGTGGTGTTTGAATCCATGTGAATTATTAGTGACTGGATCTGAAATTCACTAAAACACTTCTAATGGCATAAATTGACATTTATTTAGATACGTGAAAACGGTTATTCTCTGATGCTGCCAGTAATTTTGTTTTCGCTTGTATAATTTTAAGCTGTTCGAGACATAAACACTAGAATCTGACTCGAAAATGAAGAAAGCTCAAAATAAGCGAGCCATTGAAAGCTAGAATAGCAAGTATTTAATATCTGACAGCTACCTAAATGCTTTGTGCACACCACTAATCTGATAATTTCTATTCTCGGCGATCAGTTATTTATATTGATGAATCACTTAAATAGTAACTATTATCATGTTCATCTACTCGTTATTATTGACCAAGCTTTTTCATTCAGCTTAAAGTGTGGCTACTTATTTGAGCGACCTGACAACGAATGAGTTGTTTCCGTCTACATAAAAGATGAAACTAGTAGATAGGAATCCTTGAACCTAAGTGTCTTGCTAATTGGGATTCATCAGCAGGGCGTACCTTCATTTCGAATGGAACTAATTCCATCAGTGACGATGTCACTGATTCTGGTGCTCAGTGATGCGGCTTCGAATCCCATCGTAATGCCAGTTAGGTTAGAGGCACTATCTGATGACGACTGTAAATCTACAGAAAACTTAGACTTGAGTTCTCTTGTTGAATGAATACCTTTTAACCACTCAACACCACTTAATAGACCTAAAGAAAACCGGTTTAGCGATTGGTATCCGCATTTATTGAAGAGTACAGCCTTAATCGCCTGTAGTACCTTGACATAAATTTGAGTTTGTTCATATTTAATTTGGTTAAGCCGTTTTTCATTAACTCATTTGACTGAGTCATTTGTATAGCAATTACTTATATATTCCATTGGCTCTGATTATTGTTGGATTTGCATGAGCTGATACGATTGAATAATGTTTACCGCCTACGTACATATCCATCTTATTCGTGTTAATGTTAGCCTCTTAAATATTTCAATGACTCATCCATTTTCCTATGTATATATAAATGTACATTTTACTCTTATTCACTGATGGGCTTGCCTACCCATTTTGGCACTCACGAATTGATTTTTGAACTGTGTGCCTGTGGTTTGGTGGTCTGTTCATGATGCAACAAATAAACATATTCAAGACATTGTATTCCTCTTTTGATATACGAAACTGTGAGGTGTTATTTAGCAATGGTTGTCTGGACGAGCAGCATACGAAGTCTAAAAACATTTCGAATATCGACCGCCACGACATTAGTAAGGCACGGGCCGCCGCAATCCTCATATGAACATTGTTTCGTGGGAAGGTGAAAGTAACTTGTGATCATTTGATCAGAGATGCTTTACACAACTTTTACATCTAAAACATGTGTATCATGAATTATCTCATGTTGATTTGTATAAAAGAATCATGAAATTCATGGTATTTAAATCATCATGCAGACAATCATAGCAACACTAACAATAACAACTTGTTATCTCTCAAATTGTCATCAAAAGATGATGCTATGGGAAATTCAAGTTGCGCACATCTTTTTGAAGTTTGCGCTAGTGATTAGATGTGGGGAGATGATGAGGATGAATTAAATGCACTTTTCACTTCAAATCCATCAACACTGACAGGATTATCCCTCTGAACAATAAGTCTTTCCTGTTATCTCATGATCAACAGGTAACACTCAGTGATTGCCGAAAAAACCTAAACTTTGGTGTATGTATCAACTTGAATTTATTTAGAATTTTGTGAGTTTCATTGATTTACTCGAAATGATACATATTTTTCATAGAATTTGTTTTCCATCACGAGATTGTTGTTTGTTTTGTATTTGAATGAATTCTAGTCTCAAATGTAGATAATTCTATGAAATCTGTTATTATTATTACTATTATTTGATTTTTAGGAAAAACTTGGAGCTTGTAGAGTTTTAGAACAAATCGAAGAGAATAAACTAGATCGGTTGATGGAATTAGAACGAATTGAACAGGAGAGTATTTTAGAAACACAAAGAATAGCTGATCAGAATATGAAAGAGATTGCTGAAAGAGAGAAGAAAAAACAAATTCAAGAGAAAATTAAAATAGAATTAGATATAGCTAATGAGGAATTAAGAAAACGACGAGAGGTTGAAAAGGAAAAAGATCGTCTACTGAATTTGAAGATAAAGCAGATTCAAGATGAAAAAGCGGTAAGATACCACTTCATAAATTGTCTTGATTTATTGGCATGAAAGTATGGTTGGTTTTTGATGAAACCATTGTATATGTAATGTTGATTGTAAGTTCTTGTAGAAACACAACCTGTTGTGAATGGTCGGTTTGTATTTATACATTCTCATTCTCAAACGATGAAATAGTGTTTTGTATGGACAAGGACTGTGAAGTTTATTACACATGTACCTCGTTCCACATGCACTCGTTACGTAGACAAAGTTGACAGCTGTGTTCAGAAGTAGGATTCTTAGCTGTTAGCAAGAGAATAAGCGACAGTAAAAGATCACCTACTTTCAACAAAAGCAACTAAAATTGTTCTTCGATTTGTTATTGCATTTTACTGTTTTCAACGAAATATGATATAAAGTTACAATAAATTCGTCACCGGGTTTTTTATTTTAAGCAGTGATTGAATAATGTAACCGGTAAATAAATATTGTAAATAAAAAACGTCTTGTTTGAATGCATAATTCTTATTTCTCAACCATCAGCGCATAATAACCTTTGTTAATATCGTGTTTCTTTTTACGAAATTACATGAAATATCTATTACCTGTCGTAACAGCCCTATTTACCTCATTAGAGCCAAGCCTGGCTAAAGAAACTCTTTCTCTGCTCCTCATCAACGTCACAAATATACAAAGCTTCAGAGTCAAAGTCTGCTTGAACTCATCAACCTATGCCTAATAACCTATTTTCAATTCAACAACAGAGTCTACGAATAAACAAAAGGAACACCAATGGGATTACCAATATCAGGACTCATTGCCGAAGCTGTAATGCAGAGACTGGAAGCGTCGATTCTGCCAGTGATCAAGCCAAAAATGTGGGTCCGCTATATAGACGACACATTCGTTATTATCAAGAGGAATGAGCTGCAGAACATCTACAATCGGATCAACAACGTCTTCGATGACATCAAATTCACGATGGAAAAGGAATAAAACAACAGCCTACCATTCCTGGATGTACTAATCACCAGAACTAACGCAGGAAAACTGGAAACTCAACTATTTCGGAAACCAACCCACACAGACGTAATTATCAACTACGACAGCAACGGCCCAAGAACCCACAAGATCAACTGCATACAAACTTTGTTCAAGAGAGCGAAGACACACTGCAGCACATACGAAGCATTAAAAAACGAGGAAAAACACCTGATGACTATCTTCCCAAAAGAACGGCTATCCACGCAACTTCATCAAAAAACATCAACCGAAACCATCGTCAGAAGCGAAATCAAGCACAGAAACAAATAAACGCATCATCTTACCATACATCAAAGACATATCGGAGCATACAGCACGACTACTGAAACCATTTGGAATAGGTGTAGCACACAAACCAACAGAATCACTTCAATCAATCCTATGTAGACCAAAGAACAAAATGACAAAAGAAGATAGTCCAAAATATCATCAACAAAATAAATTGCTCAAACTGTGAAAAACACTACATAGGACAAATTGGACGACCTCTTCAGCTCCGTTTACGTGAACATCAATTAGCAGTCAAACGCCACGACAACGCTTCGCTTATATCAATACACACCGACAATTATGGACACACGTTTGATTGTAACAATGTGGAAATACTGGGTAGGGGGAGGACAAAGAACACTAGAGTATTTTTGAAGCTTGCCACTAAGGCCAATCAGCAATCAACAAACACATCGACATTGCCTCAATTTGACAACCAATCAGAAAAATCATAGGTGACAGGATCAAGAAACAGATCAAAAGGCGGGTACAATCAAAACAAAGTTGCAAACAACGACAGGTCAAAAGTCAACAGCAACCAATCAAGATCGAGGTTAGCAGAACAAGCTACAGGTCAAACGTGGAGGAATTCGAATTCTTCACTTCTATCTGAAGTTTGTGCTGATGATGTTGTTCAGCAGAAGAACAGTGAAAGCTCTACAACCAAAACAACCAGCTCAGAGAACGAAACGCCACCACAATCATACACCTGAGTTACAAGTTTTCTCCACCATCTCAAAAAACGTCTTGCTCGAATGCATAATTTTTATTTCTCAACCATCAGCGCCTAATAACCTTTGTTAATATCGTGTTTCTTTTTACGAAATTCCATGAAATATCTATTAGCTGTGCATGTGTATGACATTGTAGGAAGAACTGGTGCAAGTTTCATTGACAATGATGATAACATTGGTGAATTTGTTTTAATGTTTTCTTGTTGCTCGAAGAATAACACAAGTCCTCACTTTGTACACTGAATAAAACGGTTGTTTAATGTGCTTATGAATGATGCCGCCATTAACTTTTCATAATCCCTTTTTATCAATACTACACTAGTTCGATACTTGATAGTTGTAAACAAACAAGCAGGAAATATATGTATTTTACCATGCCTACCTAGTTCATGAATTATCTAACCCGTTAGACGATTTTCTTGAATAAAGAAAAAAACAGTTTCGCTTTAAAATTAGCTTAGTTTTGTAATAAATGTAATAAGTATTCGGTAAGTAATGCTTTCGGATAATAAGCTGGATTAAACTAACGAGAATATTTTTACAGTTAAAAAAAATGACTACCACTTCATTTCCAAAAAAGATTGAGATATGCTTATTTGTGTATCGGCTACTAAAATTTGCAGTATCGGAGTCGAAAGATTGACCGACGCTAAATAAAATTGATTTGAATTCTGCTTATCCACTGCTTTCACTAAATCATTCAAAAACCATATTTTTCGTGTCTTAGATCTTCTGTTGATGACAGTTTTATATTACTGTTGGTGCACATTCATCGAATAAAAGTAGAAATGCTGTTGTCATTCATTTGTTTCAAACACTGTACTTTGTTAAACAACTTTATAAATAACACTTGGTTTTTATTGTATATTAATTGACCATAAAACACTAACACCATAGTTTCAAAAAGAGGATCTAGTAATTAATTAATGTGGTTTTTTGACTTTCTTTTTATTATGTAAAGGAACGTGAAGCTGCTTATGAAGCTGAACAATTGCGTATTAAACGTGAGAAAGAACTAGAAATTGCACGTTTACGTGCATTACAAGAAAGAGCATCGGATGAGGCTGCAGAACGTGATGCGTTGAGAGCTAAGCGTGCAGCCGAAGCCAATGAAAGAGAATGGAGACGTAAAGAATTATTAGCTGAGAAGAAAAAAATTGAAACAGAAAATGAATTGAAATTAGCTAGAGCAGCACAAGCTGAAGACAAAAAGCGTCATTTAGCAATTGAAGCTGCTCGTGAAAGACATGAATTCGAAAGAATTTTAAGGTAAATTGTTTTTACATTACTATACTTTTTATTGTTCGCACAGTATTTTAGTGGCGTTTTTAGTTTATGTTTCATTTTAGTCACTTTCGTGTGATGATCTATAGTAGCTATATCAATCAATCTTTTGGTCCTAACCTCCTTCGTGTTGCTTCTTTACAGTTTGTTGATGCACATGTGATCGATTTGATTCTCCTTATTGTGCCCTGGTGAAACCAGTTTAGCTTGATGTAAATGTTTGAGTAGGAATATGGTGCCACCTATAAGCATTTGATTGAAAGCTTATAGATTTGCGTATCAATCATGTTTTTCGTTCCTTTCTCCTAGTCGACACCTGGTCCACGTCGTCCCATAATGTTCACATATCCAGTGACTTCCATTCTAACCTTGGCATTTACGTCATATACGTTGCTTGACATTTCTCTACAATTGACTGCAGCGTCTCTTGAAAGTGATCTTTATCCCACTCAGTGTTATCGTGCTAATCTTTTTTCCCGGCGTGCCTCCAATTTGTTTCACTAATTCTAAGCACCACCAGGTTGTATGTTTTCACTTTTGCTGAAACTTGCATATTTCTCCTCGACTCTCACATTTTACGAACACTTCATGTACCTTCATTAATTATTAGTCTGGTTGTCACAATAGGCATTAGCCGCCGAACTTCTGAAGAAACTCGTTTCCACCATGAGGCATTATAAATCTACTAAATGAAGACCTTCCAATTGCAAGGGTAGAGTTAAAATGGTTAGTAGAATTATTGGTTCTGGTTAGCAGTTTTTTTAGCAAGTTGGTTTTCAACGGGATATGGTCAAACAACCCCATGCCCAACTCTCCTGCCTTATCCGAAACTTGTATTGACGGTGGTCTGTGATCATTTTTGAACAATACATTGTTGTTAACTTAACTTATCTGCAGGCTGATAAAACAATCTCAGAAGGAAAAATTTAAACACAACGCTTTTGTTGAATATACCACATTCATTTTTTAGTGTGTTCCTCAACCGATCAATATTAGGAATTTTCTAGTCATTAAAAGAAATACAATAAATCGATCTAATTTTAAATTCGATTGAATCTTCTTTCTGAATTGATTTTTCAGTAGTGTACAATCTTTACAAAATTCCGAAAGAAGATTCGATCGAATTTAAAATTTGATTGATTTAAATATTTCGTTTAATGATGACTTGAATATATTTCTTAGTATTGATTCGTTGAGGAACACACTAAAATGAATATGGCATATTCAACAATAAATTTAAATTTTAAATTTCAGAACTCTCAAGACAAACATTTTATTACTTTTAATGCCATGATAAATTGATAATGTTTTACGGGAAATTTCCAACAGGTTTCATTTAAGCTTATAAGCATTTTAACGAAAGTTTTATTAAATAAGTTTTGAATTTATTAGTCAACACCACTAACCCCGAATGTGTATACATAAAAAAATGCCTGCATTGAAGTTTCAATTTATTCAAACTAATTACATTAAACCCTAAATTACCCCAGTACAACAAGTGTCACTGCTTGTCCATTGTGTAGCCAGTGTATTTTTAATGTATTCTTTGAATTTTTTCCTCTCAATCCCCAAAAAAACTGTAATCAACGAAAGGAACTTTTTAACATGCGTAAATATTATGATGAAACAGTGAAATATTTTATTCAAGAACCATTACTTCAGTTTATGTCCCCTTGTGGTGTGTGCTACTTATACAAACGATATAAGTAGTATAAGAAGGGACGTGAAAGAAGTCTCACACTCAGATGAGGAAAACGGAAAGCAAATGGAGCAAAAGCAAGAAGTAAATGGAGTACCAACAGGAAGTAAAGGAAACAACAACAGGAATGGAAGAAGGATGGAGCTTTGGAAGTCACGACTCAAAGATGGTGTGCAAATAGAGTGTCCAATGTAATATTTTCGTTTTTAATTGACTAAGAGTGTAAATTGGCACAATACAATTTTCCGCGCCTGCCTCAGTCTTCTCACCCTGACTAAGAAAGTCAGGAGGAGTATTTAAGTTAATCTAGTTGGATTTAAATGCTTTCATTAAAAAAAATAGTTACTTACCCAAACCTACATTCTCACTTGAAAGAATAATCGTGTGATTTTTTTCAAGTGAAAATGTTTTCTCTAGTTCTGGTGAATGACTCTAGTCAACCTGTCCTCGTTTTTTTTTACTCTTTAGTTTCAATGACAAAAGAAAATTGATGGTCGACGGGAAACATTCGCAATTTTTCACAGCATTCCCACCTTCGGAAACAAAGTTATCCTTAACATGGTGTAGCAAGAGTTCAATAATTCAGCTTTTGAAGAATAATCCTGTAACAACAAAAGAGAAACTTGAACTATTTCCTCAAGTTGATGGAATGTCACGTGTTGATAAGGGTTAGTAAATGTTTGGTTTTTTTCTTATGTAGTATATAGAACACTTAAGGTTGTTCATGATTCCGCATTGATAAATACTTAAAAACAATTTATGACACATTTAATTATGACCAGTTAATCAGTTAAAATAATAAAAGAGCTATATTTAGTATGGCTACGCTCATAGCAGATAAGTAGGTGAAGGTGCTTTTGTTACTGTTCAGTATTTGATTACTGAGATCTTAGGATCTTTTTAGAATAACACACACACTGACCAGTTGAACATCTCTTCTATGACAATGTTTCAGGGGCCAGAAAAGAACGATTTAGAGGTACCACGGGACGGCTTATGGGAGCTGTGCCTCAAATTCCGCCACCGTCACCTATGCGCTGGAATGAAGAAAAATCTGCATCCGAGAAAATGGTAATCAATGATTGCCGTCGACAAATTATCCATTCCATAAACACTAATCAAATAACAATCATATCAGGACCTCCTGGAAGCGGAAAAACCACCTATTTGCCTCAGGTATTTCATGATGTTCTTTGAAATAAATAAAAATTTAAGCTGTTTGGAGAAGAGATTCCAAAAAGAACTGTGAACTTAAATTTGGGTAGTTAACGCAGTCATTGCGTTGATTCAATAGACAACGGGTACTAGTCAAGATTGATTGAAGTAATTTACCGAAAGATTTCTTCACATCATTTCAATAGAGAACATGTAAAATATTATTAGTAAATGTTATGGTATATACTCCTCCATTCAAAATACACTCCACCGCTTGGCTTATAAAATACCATCATTGGTGAAAACAGAAGAGTTTCGAGTTACCGTGTATATCATGTTAAAAATAGTCACGGCTATCCTACTTTCTTGTTTCTTATACATATTGGCAAAAAACACATCTACAGCTCTCTGGAAGCTCGTGCTTTATTCAATAGTATATCTTATTTTTATGAAAACGTTCATTGTGAAATTTTGTCATCAAGTAATTAACAGTTAAAAATTTCTGGAATTTAAAAGCTTTGATAGAATAATGGAATTTTTTTTTATATAAAATCAAAATGAGTTATCTCAAATAAGTAAATACCTATAATCATACTGTCAATCGACTACCGAAATGTCGTATGCAAATATCACTATAGTTTTTCACCTATTCAAAGCAAAAGCTCCGTTTGATTTGATATTTTCTGTCACTGAAAAACAAGTTTGGTAAAAAAACATTTGCTATGATTTTAGGTAAATAAGTCTACTACGCAAATATATTTTTTTGATAACTGTACTTTTCAGATTTTAATGGACGAATGTTACAAAAACGGTCATCGTTGTCGTATAATATGCTCACAACCATATCGTCTGTTTGCTCATATAAATGCTGAACGATTAGCGCAAATACGAGGAGAAAATGTTGGTCAAACAATCGGCTATCAAATCCGACTAGAATCTAAGTAAGTGTGTTAGACACTAATTGATGTGTTTGATGTCTCATTGCTGCAGGTAACAATTTCGCCACACTTTTATCATTAAAAAGATATCGAGAATTTGTCAGTTGTTGTTTACCGACAAATTCAGGTTTATAGTATACTGAAGACTGAAACGAATATTAACCTTGGTACGAAACTCACGAGCAGCTGTTGTACTAGAATTATTTTGAAAAGTAATTAATCTTTCGGTACAAATTAAACAGTGATATAAACACCGGTTACAAAGGAATATAGCTGAATATGTTATTATGCTTGATCAAGTTTTAGAGTTTCATCGTTATCAAGTAGGAAGTATTGATGAAAATTATTGTAGCACATGATACAACACCCCGTGAACAATAGTAATCGTTTTATAAAGTTTTATAGTGCAACCTTTGAGGATCTTTCAAAATGGTCATTCTCATATAATTAAGGCTTTTATTGAAAATTATTTTATTTAGACGGTCTTATAAAAAGCCTATCAAACACATCTTATAAAGTTTAAAATTTCTATTTTTCATCATGTGAATAGATCCCTTAGCAAAACGAATCTCCAATTACTCATTTAAATGTAATTAGATATTCTCATGGTCTTGATCTAATATCCAGTATTTATGTGATATACGTGCACCTAGAACACTGAACCAATCATTATAGTTTATGGGTCATTAGTAGTAACAATGGAAACAGAATGCATAATAAACCATTAATACGTAGAAATTATAAGTTGATGTGTTAAGTTTTTGGGTTTAGCAATGGATATTATCATGCTTACTGTTGACAAGTGGACTTAGCCATGTCGGTAATTGTCGACTACCTGGTTGGGGTCCGCGAGATGATAATAATCGATGGTTAGAGACCTTGAATGACATGGCTCAAAATCGTTCGCAATGGCGCCGGTGCATTTATGCTTTGTATTCTCTCAAATCCTAATCTTCTGGATTCTTCAACACCTCTAGTTTTGACTCTCTAAACTTTTCTCACTGAATCATACTTGTTGAATAATATCTTCTAATCCTAACCTCTCCGATTACTTCTAATACCTTTACTACCTCTTCTACTATTGGATTTGAATTGACAATTATATCTCTGTGCTGATGTGTTATGGCGACATGAACTGATGTACTTACGTACGAAGTTCTACGTTGCATCTGCCTGACTGACTGACTGCTTACTGTTTTCAGCGGACCATACTACCATCAGCGAACGCAAAACTCACTGGTATATAGTGCATGTAGCAACCGTTTCACATTGATTCGTTCGGTAACTAATTATAACTTCAAAATGGAAACTTATTCCAGAAATATACAATGATAATCGCTATTTTTTTTACCAATAATATTTTCATCTAGGGTTTCTCCGAAAACTTTGCTAACATTTTGTACACATGGAGTGCTATTAAGGACAATATATTCAGATTCAAGAATTATGATTGGTACAACACATATTATAGTAGATGAAATAGAAGAAGATGAAATACCAGAAAATGTACTTTTAACAAAATTGATTAATAATGAGCCTAAACTAATGACAACTACAGATAATAATGGTAAAACAGATAAAATATGGTTTGCTGATAATCCAGAAGGAGGCTGTGGTATTTTATTGGCAGTTATACCTTCTCTTCTGACTCAATATCAACATTTAAAAGTAATTCTCATTATTAATTCTCGATTATCTACGAATAATGTTTGGCATGAAAACAAACTTAATGAGATAATAAGCAATCCGATGAATTTAATAAACGTTTCCAATTCTGTTCCAATGATGTGTTGCAAAGTAAGTATGAACTTCACTTGTTTTTTCTATTTTTATGCAATATTTCTAATTGTTATGTGATTAAACATAAATCTTAAGTATTCAATCAAATACATCCAATCAGATTAATTTTTTTATTGAATGAACACTTTTATTTCTATACGTGAAAGTCGTTGTTTGTTAACTAACTGTCTACTAGGTACAAAGAAGATTACATAATGGACTTTTCTGACTAGACTAACTAATAAAGAGAAAACAAGGGATCCATTGATAAAGAGATGATTTGATGACAGCTGAAATCGTCTCGACCTTTGTCTTAAGATTCAGCCCTTTTATTGAAAGTAGTTTAATTTATCGATGCGATGGATTACAGGCATCTATCTATCTATCAAGTTATTGATGAATCATCGTCAATGACTATAGACCATATAAGTAGTAAACGATAAGTAATAATTATAAGTGATTTAGTTATAAATCTTGAATCATTATTGATTTCTGATAAGAACAAGATAATAATCTTTTTCCTTAACTGACGTACAGTCATATCAGTCTTATTCATGTAAAATAAGTAGCAAATAGCAGTTTTCCTTACAGTTAAGACAAATGCCTACAGCTGTTTTAATCGCATATAAAAAAAGGTGAATAATGTTGAAAAGGTTATTCAGTTAAATTTGTTTACTTCTCATGAATATTTCCTTCATCACTTAGACGCATTTAAAACCTTTTCTTCAGTTTATAAATTGTGATATTTTGTTGCTGATACGATGTGATATGTAGACGTAACTATGAAGTTTGTCATACCACTGAAATAGAAGTTTTCCGTTAAACTATATTTCACTGTACCAGAATAATTAAAACGTGACAGAATAGTAAAGGTTATATGCTCGAAACTATTACGAGTGCACTTTGTTCGGAAAACGGAATGAAGATCAATAATTCACTGACATGATAGGCTAGTCTAATCCAATTGTCCCAGGCCCAGCTAACTAGAGGAAGAAGTCTTGATAAAAGGTAGAGAGAATGAATTCACAGGTACCCAGAAAATAAGAAGTCCATAGGCATATAACTCAAGCAAAACGTATTTGGTGAGATCCACAAAATAGCGTACTAACATAACCCATCTACCAATGACAGTCAAAGATAGTCCAAGTGGGAAATGTAAGCTGAAGGTCAAATAACCGTCTTTGACGCGAAAACTTAGAAATTCGAAATTTCAGAAATAAATTACAAAATCAGGACCTTTTCCAGGTGAGTTCTGGGGATTTAACGTCCCCAACAAAAGGATATATGTAGATGGTATTGGACAGAAAAGTACCTTAATGAGATGTATCATAGATTAATGCTAAGTTGTCAAACGATAACTATGTGAATCAAATCCTTCTCGGAGATAGTAATCAGACTTTAATCGCTAAAACGATGTAATTAGGCCTTAAATAGCACTGTTTTCGTAAGAAATCTGAATTTCGGAGAGAAAGAGAGAGAGAGAGAGAGTAACGCTTTTACACTATAGTTCACTAAATTTTTCATACCAGCTTACTGAAGTAAATAGTCCCAGTTATTAGATTCAATTATGAATATATCTGTTTCTCATGATCAATAACACACATATTTGGTTTCATAAGTGATTAGTCAGTAGTTGCAATCTTTCTTAAGTATTATATAAAGAGTATGGTTTATATATCAATTTATTTTGTTTCACATTATGTTAAATTTATCACAATGTACATTAAATCTTCTCTTTAATTAGTCATTAATAAATGATTTTGATTGTGAAAAATATTTTTATGATAATAATAATAACCCGCTGACACTTGTTCAATTAGAATATATGTGATAACTTGCTACAAACAAATTAAAGTTTCAAATGATGCTTGAATATTTATTTATTCTAATAAATTTCATTTTATTTAACATACAGGTTCATAGTGCTGCTACCACATTATACAAAAATGAAATTTCAGCGATAAATCTTAAAGACCAATTAATAAAGCAACCAAAATTCAATTTGATCACTAATCGTTTTGATAAACTCAGTCCAGTTACATTGTCGTCAATAGATAATAACCCTTATCCAGGTTTTCCAGTAGTGGAGGATAAACCACCGGTAGCAGACATACAGAATGATATTTCATTTAGAAATATAGCCCATAGACCATTACAAGGATTCAGTAAATATTATAATGGAGCCCCAATAATTAGTAGTGAGTTTTAGTGAATGGATCGAATTCCTACATTTTATTTTTATTCTTAAATACTTAATTGATGTTTTAATCAGAGTTTTTAAATGAAGTATCAAAAAAAATTTAGATTATACTTGAGATTATCAACCAGTTTCCAGATCCTATGAACTCATAAGTTTGATGTGATTCTAGTGTCCAGTGAACACAATGCATAATTTATAACTATTTGTAAATATGTAAGATCGATTTTGTTAAATAGATAACGGACAAACACTGTTAGACATTTATTAAACTAATGCATACCTTCAGTAAGCTAAAAATCTTCCTAGACCTAAGGTTGCTAACAGTTTATGTTTAGATATTTTGTAGTATTATTATGTGTGAAGAATTATGGAATATGCTTACTTACTTAGTTACTTACTTACTCCTGTTACCCCTAATGAAGCATAGGTCGCCCACCAGTTTTTTCCAACCAATTCTGTCCTGGGCTTCCTTCTCCAGTTCTGTCCAATTTTTGTTCATTCTTCTCATGTCTTTCTCTATTTCTCGGCGTAATTTGTTCCTTGGCACTTCTCTTTTCTTTTGACCTTGAGGGTTCTACGTGAGGGCTTGACTAGTGACTCATTTGGGTGCTTTCGCAGTGTTTGTACTACCCACTTCAACCGCTTCTTCCTGATTTCCTCCTCCACTGGAATCTGGTTTGTTTTCTCCCACAGTTCGTTGTTGCTGATGGTGTCTGGCCAACGAATACGAAGTATTTTGTGTAGACAACTGTTCATAAACACTTGTATCTTATGGATGATGGCTTTGGTAGTTCTCCAAGTTTCCGCTCCATACAGTAGAACTGTCTTGACATTTGTATTGAAAATCCTGATTTTGGTTTTGGTTGAAAGTTGTTTGGAGTTCCAGATGTTTTTCAACTGTAGAAATGCAGCCCTTGCTTTGCCAATCCACGCCCTCACATCTGCATCGGATCCACCTTGATTGTCTATGATGCTGCCCAGATGTGTAAAGGTGTTAACGTCCTCCAAGGCGTCTCCATCAAGAGTGATTTGGTTGGTGCATGTTGTGTTGCATCGGAGAATTTAGCTTTTTCCTTTATGTATGTTGAGACCTACTGCGGCTAAGGCTGCCATTACATTGGTTGTCTTCTCTTGTATTTGTTGTTGCGTGTGCCATAGAAGAGCCGGATCATCGTCCAGATCGTCCAGCTGCGTCCTGGCTGTGTGTTGGATACTGTGCTTCCCTCCAGATGTTGACGTCTTCGTAATCCAGTCGATCACCATGAGAAAGAGAAAGGTTGAGAGTAAGCAACCTTGCCTCACACCGGTCTTCACCTCGGACGAGTTGTCAGCTGTCATCCATGTACGATTTCGTAGTTTAATCCATCGTAGGAATTCCGTATGATGTTAACTATATTCTCAGGCACACCGTAGTGTCGAAGAAGCCTCCACAGTGTTCTCCTATCCACGCTATCGAATGCTTTCTCGTAGTCGCTGAAGTTGATGCAGAGTGGTGAGTTCGATTCAAATGATTGTTGCACAATGATCCGCAGTGTTGCGATTTGGTCGGTACACGATCGATCCCTAAGAAATCCAGCTTGTTGGTCACAAAGTTGGGCGTCTTCGAAGTCCTTCATTCTGTTTATCAATACCCTGTTGAAGACTTTGCCTTGTATTGAGAGAAGAGTGATGCCTGTGTAGTTCTCACACTTGCTGAGATCGCGTTTCTTTGGTATTTTGATGAGGTATCCTTCTTTCCAGTCTGATGGTACTTGTTCCTCGTTCCATGGAATATTCTATGGATCGATACGTTTAACTAACAGGATTTATGATTGTAAGATTTAGTAGCAGTTTGCAGAATGTAATAGGATTCATAAAAACGGTGTCAAGCGGTAATCGATATTGAACTCAATATTCTTTTTAACACATTTACGATTGCTACAGTCATCAGTAACATATTTACGTTTTAATGAAGATGGATTAGATTTTCTACTGACTTTTTAGACATTCATGTTATTTATTTTCTAATGAACTACATTTATGCTAGACTTTCAACTTTTGGTATATATTTGGATTATTTTATTGATGCGGTATCAGTATTGATTTTTGATCAATAATAAATTGACGAACAATTAAATATTCGTCAGAAAACGGTATAATATTTGAATTTTTCCATTAAAGTGTATGAATTCTGAATATTATGACTGGACTGTGTCGTAAACCATATATTGATCAAATAACTAACACGAACATTAAAGAATTCAGTACTGAAATGCAGAACAGCATTTCCGAATAGCCTACTGCTATTAGAAGTCGTCTGATATTTTACTACTGACCGTTGTGGATGATCTCAACACATTAATGACTTGTTAGTTCTTTCATAATTACTGCCATTATCTGCATTAAAATCAGAATCTTTGAAAAGTCCCATTAAAACTTAATGCAAAAGATATATATGACATTTTTTCATGTTTACCCTGATGTTTCTGGCAGCGATGGGTACGAAATATCTTATGCACAAGAGACTTCTAAACATTATCTTTTAATGAAGGCTTTAAAGGACATCTAGATAACTGAAATTTTCTCGTCAATTGAGTCAGAGGCTTTTAGTCGCAGAATCTTCTAAATCAAGCTTCTTAACTTTATCTGAAAACATTTGTGTTGTTTACATGTCGAAAGTCAGTAGTAGTTCAAGGCCAGCCTGTAATGAATTAAGTGAAAGAGTCACAGTATCCCATAAACCTAATTTTGTAGTATAGATAATATAATTATGTCTAAGCTTTTACGTATTGATAATTTCAGGTTTCATAAAGTTTTAAATTCAAACTTCTTTTATTTAAATCGCTAAATTATTCCGACTATAATTCAAGTTTTTTTTTATCTTCATTCTAATTGGTTTATAGTACCGTATCATGCAAAACAAGTAAAAGTTTATCATCTAGAAGATATTTTAGAATGGACTCATTATTCAACTTCCCAAATGAATGAAGCATTAGGAAACATGGATCAAGGTAATTTTTCGTAATAAGTATCATTTCGCATGAGCGTAATTATTGTATTTTTGTTAGTATTATATCAGATATTCATTTTAGTGTACTTTTTAAAATAAAATCTGATGAATTTAATGTTTCAATAATAAGTCAGTGCCTGTTACTCCCAAAGGAGCGTAGGTCTACGATCAGCATTCTCCAACCTACTTCCACCTACTTCCACCTTCCATTCCAGTACTATTCTTTTGCTGTTCATTCTTTCTATGTGTTTCCGATTCTCCTTAGTGTTTTGTTCTTTGGTCTTCCTCTTTTCCTTTGGTCCTCAGGATTCCTATTGGGATGTTATCTTATGACGCATTTTGGTGGTTTATAAATCAACTGATCCTTTGAAACAAAAAAAGAAGCCTTACTGGTATGTGGAATGGAATCCATTAAACTTGTTGACTACAATGAACGTCATTATAGTGTTTCATGGTCGATATTGATGAACATTGATAAATGAAATGATAAAAGGTTATTTACGAAGTTGTTTATATATACGTTTGTAAGATGAATATAAAATTGGAGATGTAAGATATATAAGATAAAATAAAAACTGATATTTTGGGTTAAATGACCATAATCAAGTAGTCAAATTATTTACAAAATCTCGGAAGAATAGATGTTTCGAAGTGACTTCAATAGTCCATAAATAGCCTAGTTTTATGTATCATTCAAAAAGGTAGAAACATGCTTATCAAGAACTTCACAGAAATTAAATAAGATGACTGAGTTAAAGTATAGCGAATTGTTGAACAAGATTTCAGTCAGTATCGTTTCACCAGGTGTATACTACATTTATGTTAAATTTAAAGTTGAGGTTGGAACTCATAAACGAACTATGACAGTGTGTTATTTAGAGTTACTATATACTACTGTTGAGATACACTGCAGATCATCTAGTGAATTGAGTTATCGAGAAATTTTTTTGTGATTTTTAATTCAGAACTTGATTAGTTATTAAAAATGCAGCACACACTGATGTCACATTGTACAGTTTCAGTCAGTCAGTTACAACGTAGAACTTCGTACGTACGTACGTCAGTTCAGGTTGCCATACCGCATTTGCATAGAGACGCAACTGTCAGCTCGAATCCCATAGTGGTGGAGATAGTAGAAGAATCACTGGTAATGGAGACTATTAGGGATCGAAGGTATTATTCAAGATAACTTTAGAAAGAGAAAGATAGAGGGTACGAGGAATTCCGAAGATTAGAATTTGAGAGAACACAATGCACGAATGCTCCTGCGACACTGAAAACGATTCTGAGCCATGCCGTTCAAGGTCTCTAACCCTCGGTGAGTATCGTCTCGCGGACCCCAACCAGGTAGGTGCAGGCACCTACCAACAGTTTATCGTTCATCGAAATCTCCCATTCCTCTGGTTCTCATTTACAAAATAGTTGATAAAAATGTGTAATTATAATTCATATAGTCTGTTTTTATAAAATTAAGCCTATACATGGTTTAATCAGGAAATTAGCTTAAAGCATATAAAATAATATCATGTCTCCTTAAATATTTCACTAATGGTATTGTGCTGTAATATTATCAACTATTCTTTCACATTGCTCTGTTTACTTTTTTTCAAAAAACTAAATTTTTTCTTATCTAGATTATGTACGATGTCATAATATGTATTTTTGGCTTACAACTAAAGAATATGATAAATATATTTCCAGCGAGTATCATATGAGTTCAACTAAAAGAACAAATTTAGTCAATGCAGTTGAAAATGAAATGTTCAAAATGTCCCTATCTAATACTGTTCTAAAGGTATCTCATGTTTATGGAAATTTTTTGAGGTATTTTTTTGGTAAACATGACAATCAATCATTTTGTTTCGTCTCAACATCCTCTAGACTCAAAGATCAAACAAATCACAGTACTTTTTGTTCACGTAGTTTTTGACCCCATGATTATTATATGAATAAAAAGTAACCAACTTTTTTAGTTGGTTGTGTTGTTAAATGGAATATGACAGTATTTATTTTATAAGTAAAAATGTTCAACCGAAATTATTGTTTATTCTTACAATAAGTAACGGTTGTCTAAACTACAATAATATCATTAAATTGTATTCTGTAATATTTTCTAATCTTTTTAGTGTAGTGTAAATAAACACCTGAAAGATAATAGAAAAAAAAAGCTTGAAACGCCTTTTTAGCTTTTCTAGAGATAGCTAGCGTGATATTATTGGGTCTAGCACTGTGTATGTTATTCTTATCGCCTGATTTGAAACGAACTATATATTTATAGTTTTCCAGAGGTTAGGATAGTTGCATTATTTGAGAAAGTGTAAGTTTTCAATGGAGATAACAAAATACTAAGCCAAACATGTTGGAATTAAATGGATTCACTTCATAGCTCGAAAACCTAATGTAGTGAAACTAATTTGTGATCACTTATATTTGATCATTAAGTGTTTGCATCCCGATCCACCGTTGGATAACAATTTGTTCTTAGTTATAAATATATCACTGAAAAGACTAGATATGATTCGAGTCATTTATCGATCAATTTTCCTGCATATTAATCAGGGAACATCTAGATTAAGAGACACGCCTATACATTAATTGAACTGAACTTACACTATACAGCTGTTATCCAATACTGAAAACTTTTTACTAAGAGTTTTTAAGCAATAATCTTCAATGTTCTGGTTCGAATATTTGGTTATTTTATAAGCTATAGAGAAATAACTCAAAACATAGTAAGGTTTATGAGAATAACTTGATGCACGATGAAATTCGACTGCTATGAATAAAGCATCAAGTTGAATTCCCCTGTGTATTTTTATATTTTCGTCTATTGAATCTGTGAGATTATTAAGTGGAAAAAGTTATTCTAATCTGCTTAGCAAAATGAATCGTTGATAATCACTCTTGCAATTATTTTTAGTAATGTTTTAGCGTTGTAATGTGAAAGAAAGATGAAAGGAACTTGTGAAAACCATTCATTGCATTCTGATAATTCTCTAATCCCTTAAAATACTGAATAAACAGATTGTTCTTATTCACAAATATGATCATACTGTATTACTGATATCCCAACTCATGTGTGAACAAGAATTGTTTAAAAGATTTATTTATTTAAAGATGAAATTCAAATGATAATGAGTGAAATATATTATGGACAAAAGTAACAATAAATTAATTGAGCTCACAAATTGCTCAGAATCTAATCATTTTTGTCTGTACACATGTATAGATATTTATACATAATGTCGAAAAGGAAGTCATCAGTTTTTTACGCTCTATACTTCCGTTTTAAACTAACTACTTATCAATGAACTTTTCCTTAAGAACCTCTTGGCCTTCATTATCAGAATCCTTCTTGATATTTGTCACTGGAAAACGGTGCTCTCTTTCATTATCTGAATCAACATTAAATATTCTGCATTACTAGCGCTAACGGTGTAACAGAGAAACCGCACGTAGAGTAAGTAGGCTGTCGTGTATATGCATTGAATTACCTAAAAATCAATAAAATGGCAGAGTTTTGAGTAGTTTACCTGAATTGATATGAATATTGGTTAACACTCTGAATCATAATCTACTCCTGGAATGTATATACAGAGCACCTGACACTTCGGCTAATGTGAATGGCCTTATTATTAATTTATTTATACATGCATTCGCTCTAAGTTTCAATGTGAGGGTCATTACAGGAAATTTTAAATATTTTCGGGCAGAGTTTTGGAGGTTTGTGTTTTTACACATTTGAAATTATCAGTCAATCATTGTTAGACCACCATTAGAAACCTGGAAGCATTGACGGCCGTTTCGTCCAGGTGCAGGAGTCGTGGCTGCGCACTGGTGATGAGTCCCATACCAGTACGAAATGGCCGTCCTGTGCTTCCAGGTTTCTAATGGTGGTCTAACAATGATTGATTGATGATTTCAACTGTGTAAAAATTTTAAATACACTGAAATAAACTGGAATACCTGTAATGGGCATTCAAGTTGTGACAAAATCTTAGTATCAATCAATTTACACAGTTGGTCATAGGGGTTTCGTTAACCAACAAGGGACGGTGATATACTATGATTATTGGAAAACCTCATATATCAGACGAAGCTATAAATCAGGAAGTAAGTCTGATGAGAACAACAAATTGCCCATAAATAATACTCCAGTTACCTTTATGATAGTGAAAAACATTGTTAGTGACGAACTTTCCAACTAATTACTCACTGATTCCTAATATATCTTCCTTAGAACTCGATCTTGTACAATCAACTGTAAGTACTTCCCATTCCACAAGTGAAATTATAGGAACGCTAAATCATTGGATAGGAAAATTATATTTGTAAGTCTCAGCATTTCAACTTTAAGTAATGTCAATGTTTCTCATGGAAATCTGGTCTAAGCTGTTTCAATGTAATATAATCAAGCATAAAAAGGATTACCAAACGAAACGTTGGTTTTATTTACAGTTCACTTACTGAGACTTACAAATATAATTTTTCTTTTTAATGTCTCACATTAACTCGGCTCCTCATTACTCTAAAAGTATTCGTTTATATTTATTACTGAGCCTACTAAGGAATCTCATGCACATACTCTACTCTTACAATGTCCCTTTTGAATTTTACCAATCTAAATGGTATCTAACCTGAACATTGGATTACAGAATAACTTAGCACTTGAATCATGGTAGACGACTGATGTACTTCTGGAGTTATTACTGTCATTATTCTGTTTTATTTTTTGCTAGTTGTAGTTGGTTATAAACAATCCGCTATAGCACTGGGAACGAAATTTAGTACACCGTTCGCACAGCCAGCTTTAGGATGTCCAGTTAAAAGAGAACTGATGGTTTCTAATTAACGCCTGACAATACTGTAATACAAGTAAAACATGTACTTCCTAAACAATTTTTCAACTAGAGCACCTTGAAATACTTGATATGACATTTGTATCTCCAACTATCTATACCATGCTGTTCATGCCTGTAAACTGGTATAAATTCCTTAATTGTTATTTTCAGACTATATATATATATATTCTATAAATACGTATGTATATTCTATTCCAGAAACCTTCTGTGTTTGCTGAACATCCAGGTACATTTCGTTTGAGCTCTGAACAAGTATCGAATCAAGCAGACGAATGTGCAGAAGTCTATTCAACAATTTTCGCAAAGGAACATGCAAACAACTTACTATGGAGTATTTGGTGTGGCACAGTTCTTGATTCCAATAGAGACAAAACAAACAAACATCATATGAGGGTTAGAGGAGTTAGCAGTTTCGCGTTTATTCCGTTAGCTGATAAGTTTCTCTAACTTTTCGATTTAATATGTTGTAAATTTACATCAAAAAGACTAACTCTGAAATCTATTCCACTTCCTTTACTAGAATACCGCTTGTATTAAGGTAACAAAATTACGAAAGTAAGCTATAATCTGAGGAATAATTGATCTAAATCAGTCCTACAATCAAAAACCTTTCATAGTTTATGGTCTCATAAAATTGCGTTTGTTGAAATCTCGCAAAAACAGTATTTCTTTCAGAAGTGCATTTTGGAAGTCTTTGCTACACAAATGAAGAAATTCAGCTTTCTTACATTAATGAAACGTGTTGAACCTTTTATGTTGTACGACTGTTTCACAGATAATATACTAAATTTAGTTCCGATAACATTTTGAATTGTTTTTTATTCAATATTTGAATAAAACCTAAAACATTGTGAGGTTTGTTTATGGATTTTCGAAGGCTTATTTGGTTAGTAGTAACAGGTGGCTTTGTCGATAACTACGCCTTTGAAAATAAAATCACTGGGTTCAGATAATTGAACTAAGCTGAATTCCTATTTGCATTGACTTAGTGAATGGTGTCTGTTCACCTAGAATCGAAAGAACATTTTTAATTTAGCCGGAAGTCGTGTCCAATTTGTTATGCTGTATAATCGCATTTCAGCAAAAATTGTTGTGATTAGTAACAGACTGAAAGATCATCTCACATATCAGTAGTAGATTATTGAAGTGATAGCAGATACTTATGACAGATAAGTAGACTAAGGATTAGCATTTCGTTTTACTGCAAGCTATGCTTTTGCTAAAACATACTCCTACCGTGAGATGGTATTCGATAACAAAGACCTATAGAGGATACAAAGTGACGAAATCCTATTGTCAATTAGGATTTTAATTACTTTTTTACTGTAAACTAACATTTGACATAATTGTTTACTTTGTATTTTGTAAACTTCACTTTCATTATGTTGTTATGAATATTTTAATCTTTAGAAAATTGATCAAATGGAAATCACTGACGGTACAAATTCATGTCTGACAAATTTACTTCAGTGTATTTTAGCTGGTTGGATTTCTGTTGATTATGAACATTCGAATTCTGGTATGCATTTTCATATTTCATTTCTATATGAATAGCTGGATTATATTTTTAATTTTCTATTAAATTTTCATACTCTCAAGTTTTTGTAACAATGTTCACTCATAAAATATTGTTTAATGAATTAATTAGCCTAACAACACTTATTTGCAAAATTCGTTTTGTATTTTAATAATAATCTCATTAGTAAGTTACTTCTGTGTGAATGTGTCACAGTTTTTTATCAGCTTCTGAACAACCATTTGTAGTTAGTTAACTGGTCTTTCTTCAGACAGACGAAGCTGAAACCAAGACGGCCGTGTATTGATTCTGACAAGTTTTAAAAAAATATTTCCATAATGAAGCATTTCAACTGACTGTATTCAAAATTGTAGGTTATAGACGTCCTGAACTCTTCTCACCGGGTTACTTTAACTAGTCTTTTAATTTTTTGCGGATTCAGTTTAATCAATTATTTGCACGATAACCAGTGAATTTTCAGTGAATAAATGTACGAATGCACTTTATTTTTCTATTTTTCAATAGGTCTTACTCCAACAATGGTGTGTTCTGCTGTTGGTCTCTTGGAGGCTGTTAAATGTCTATTACGTCATGGAGCTAATCCGTTTATACGTGTACCTATACCATATGAACCTTTGATTGCATTAGCTTGTAAACAATGTGAAGGAGATTTTCAACTACTTGGTCCAAAAAATCGAAAAATTACAGTCATAGATGAAAATTATACTATTGTAGGAGTTACTGCTTACGATTTAGCACGTATATTTAATAACAACGAAGTTGCAAACTTACTGAAAACTTATATGTAAGATTTGTAAATATTCTTTCGAATGATTTGTGACAGATTTTTCGCATTATACTATTAGTTTTATATCAAAAATAGTGGTTTTTGAATACTTATACGGTCAGGGTAATAAGTTAACACAATCGGTCGTTTCTACTGCTCTTTAGGTTTCATGTACTATAGATTACCATAGAATACTCATATATGACACTTTATCCATTTTTAAACCGAATAAAATCAAAACAATTATCCACTCCCATTTCATATGTCTTTAGGATTACTTCAAGCCTTCGATATGAACCTGAAAACTGGGAGGCTATTCTACTAAGATTTGGTTCTTGGTTTCAAAGTCCAATAAGCAAGTCACAATTTGACAATTTGACTTTTGATGACCATCAACTGTCTGCGATTGATTTAGGCAGTTTGGAACAAACAAAGGTATCTATTAATTCGCAAAAATTCTGCAGTAAATTACTTTCATCCTATCAATTAGCTAGAAACAATATGGAACCAGAAACGGTAGTTGATTATGATCTCCTAATAGAATTAATTGTGAAAATTGACAGTTCGTTGCCAAGAGGTAAGAAGTAGTATTTATCAGTCAGTTATTAAATAAAACATCTTTCAGTTTAAAACATGTTCTGGCAGTCTTATTTTAGTGATTTCTCCGACTTAGTCTCATTAATTATTGCAATGAACATTTTTTTATTTTTGAGATGAATGTAGTAGTTAGTTAAGTCACATTTAATACTTCGGAGATATTTTTCGCAACGCGAGTGAGATTGACTGCAGAATTGGAGTTTTTATTCATTTTTAAGTCTATGAAGATGCTTTAGACCTGTAAAAAAAGATGTTAGTCAGGAAAGGTTCGGAGAAACTAACTGTCCCGTATTGCCTATATGTTTATCAATGTTGGTAACAAAAAACGTTATTCTATAAGAGCTCCATGTGTGTTGTCCTGCGGTGCTCGTTGGCTTTTTCACCAAGGCTCTCATTATCCCCAATACTATTTGCCTTCATTATCAATCCGAAATAGTCAAAAGCACTGTCAGTTCAAGTAGATCCTTTTGGTGGTCTTGCGCTCTTTGAACAAAGTGGTTTAATTCGAAACCTTTCCATATCATTTTAAATATTTTTAATCACTGAAATATGTCTCCTTTACTGGTGCAATGAAAATTATTGTTAAAAATAATATTTTGTCCACCATTCGATTTAAAGCATACAAGCATACAAGTCTCACTTACATTCGGGTTCCTAATACCAGTTTCCGCCTTATCAAAGAAACCGGTATTAGGAACCCGAATGTAAGTGAGACTATCTCGGAAAAGGATGGTCTTATTATCCATTCTCAATCTAGGAGGCTGGACCGATGGGCAGAACACTTTAGGGATCAGTTCAACTGGCCTTCAGCCACTCTTCGGTTGCCCACGATCTCCAGCCATCCTGAATGGCAAATCGATTTAAGTCCTCCCAGTTTACATGAAGTTGAGAAAGCTATAGGAAATCTAAGGAGAGGTAGAGCGGCAGGTCCCGATAGGCTTACCCCTGAGATGTTTAAGGATGGTGGTCCAGTTTTAACGGTTAGACTGACCGAGATCCTAGGTAGAATCTGGGAAATGGATGTAATCCCATCTGACTGGTCTCAGTCGCTAATTGTCCCAATCTACAAGAAAGGACAGAAGTCCTCTTGTGACAATCACAGGGGAATAAGTTTAATTAATATAGTTTCTAAATTGTTAGCCTCGATTATACTTAGACGTCTAACTAGAGCTCGCGAAGAGCAGACTCGAGAAAACCAGGCTGGTTTTCGACCTGGACGTGGTTGTATAGACCACATTTTCACACTAAGACAGGTCCTGGAACACAGACACACATTTAGACGTCCGACAATAGTCGTGTTCCTGGACCTTAAGGCGGCATTCGACTCAGTGGATCGTGAGGTTCTGTGGCAGTGTCTGTCATTGAAAGGTGTACCAAAGAAGTACATTAACCTTATACAAGCACTCTACTCGAACACCACTGGTCGGGTGAGAGCATATGGCGAACTGTCATCTGAATTCTCTACATCAAGTGGTGTCCGTCAGGACTGTCCACTCTCTCCATTCTTGTTCAACTTTGTCGTAGACATCCTCTTAGAGTTAACATTAAGCTCGTCAGATTTTTCAGGGGTTGACCTTCTACCAGGAAAGTCGCTTACTGATCTAGAATATGCCGATGACATAGTTCTATTCGGTGAAGACGCTGACAAAATGCAGAGTCTTCTGACTACCATAAGCAGCAATGCGAGCATGTTCGGGATGCGGTTTTCCCCCTCGAAATGCAAAATGTTGCTTCAAGATTGGGTTGCATCGGCACCTGAACTAGTGATAGGGAGTGAAGTAGTCGAGCGTGTAGATCACTTCACTTATCTGGGGAGTCTCATCAGTGCTGACGGTCTGGTGACTGACGAAATCTCAGCTTGGATACAGAAGGCTCGATTGGCTTTTGCCAACCTGCGTCACTTATGGCGTAGGCGTGATATCCGTTCGCTAACCAAAGGGCGGGTGTACTGCGCAGCAGTTCGTTCCGTTCTCTTATATGGCTGTGAAACATGGCCGTTAAGAGTAGAAGATGTTCGTAGGTTACTAGTATTCGATCATAGATGTTTAAGAAGCATTGCTCGTATATCGTGGGACAGCCGAGTAAGCAATGCTGTCGTTAGGAAACGAGTACTAGGTAAGGATGGCAGATCAATAGATGAAGTAGTGTAACTTCATCAGTTGAGGTGGTTGGGACATGTGTTACGTATGCCTAACCACCGACTGCCTCGACGAGCTATGTTTTGAAGTGTAGGAGTAGGTTGGAAGAAAGCTAGGGGCGGCCAGACCAAAACATGGCAGAAATCCATGAAGTCACTGACAAGTGGACTGAGTCATGTTGGTAGATGTAGACTACCTGGTTGGGGTCCGCGAGACGAAAGTCATCAATGGTTAGAGACCTTGAACGACATGGCTCAAAACGTTTGCAATGGCGCAGGTGCATCCACTCTTTGAGCTCTCTCAAATCCTAATCTTCTGGATTAGCCAGCACCTCTACCTTTGTCTTTCTAACCTTATCTCACTGAATTATATTTTTTGAATAATATCTTAAACCCTGTTCTTCTTTATTATAACATTAATACCTCTACTATCTTTATCACTATGGGGTTTGATTTGACATTTGCGTCTCTGTGCTAATAATGTGGTATGGCAACATGAACTTATGTACATACGTACGAAGTTCTACGTTGCAACTGACTGACTGATACAAGCTATTAAAATTGTCATAATGACCATGGACGTTTCATTTTGTACTCTGAAGACTTTCTTACCTACTTGATGCCACTTAACAGAAAACTTTCGTACGTATTATGTTGCCTCCAAAGCATATATGAGAATAAATATTTTTCAAAAGCATTGCTTTTTTTAGAATGATCAAACACGTCTCAAATTTTACTTCTTTTTAGGTACAATATTAGTATTTCTACCATCTTACGAGGAAATTATAACAGTGAGAGGAAGATTACTGGATCCTGAAACATCTCCGTGGAAATCACCACAGTATGTGAATAATGGTGATTTTTTCTGATTTTATATAACGTAGACTATCTTATAAAAAATAGTAACTGATTTCCGAAGATCATAATATCTGGAGTATCTAAATTTATTCGTTGTGTGGTTTGATGTCATTTATTTTGAACTAAAATTATGCGCTAGCAATCTTGCAAATGCTTATGTCGACCAAACAGAAGTATTCAACTTACCTCATCAGAGGCTGGTTCGTCCGATAAATTTTCTAATGAAGGCAAATCTTTTGAATTTCGAGAATTTTCTAGCCCCAAATATCATCATGATTGTTATCGTTTTATTGGCCAGGTTGACTGAATTTTGTTTCTTTTTTTGTAATATCAAGTGATTTTTCCTTGTTTTAACGACATTAGATTTAGTCTGCGAATTCTTCATTATTTACAACGTGTGTTCGATGTTCAATATAATGATGAGTCAAATGGTCGTATGATTATTGTTTATTGAAATGTACCCAGGTTCTAGCTGGGTTCGTAATAATGGAAAGCACAATTATTTGTTCGTAAAAATCACTTTACATATATTACAACCATAACCGAAATTCTGAATATGCAGATCGAAATCGAATTACATTGTTTTTTTATCATAACTTGAAAATTATAGTATTCTTTACCTAAAATCACTTGGGAATAATAGTTTCAATCATTCGTACAATTAATTTCAAAGCCGATATATAATATGTATGCTTTTATTCACAACTTTGAGCTAGTTATTCGCATCTTTTCCAGTAATTTTATTCATTTCACATTTTTTGTTTTTAGCAAGCCACTAGTATTAATTCTTCATCCACGAATGGTTGTTGCTGATTTGAAAACAATATATAGTCAGTCTTCAAGCTCACACCGTAAAGTAGTAAGTGAATTGGATAAAAGCGAAATATATATGTTTTCACAAGACTTGAGGCTTGGATATTTGTCACTGGCATTAAAGTTTCTGTTGATTAGATATATCAACAAATTGATAAACTATGAATTAATATTTCATTTAATGAAATATTTGCTCTCATGGCAGCAAGTATTATGTTTTAAAACATCTGGTGTATTTCATGTTATATGCGTTGTTTCATTCATTGAATGATAATTTGAGTACAGTAAGTTATTAACCGATCTTTGAGTAGATTAAGTTGTCCTACATTTTGTTTAATATGCTGACTAAAAATCACAATAATAATGAAACATATATATTTATTGAACCGAATATTCTTTATATGTACATTTACGTCTCGGTCAGTAGTATATTTGTTACGCATGAACGTAAAAATGTCATTTTGATATGCCTGAACCATTACGAGTTTACCTTAGTCGAAAAACGAGAGTGAGGATCGAGGATCCGGCAACACGACATGCTGCTCTAATCCGATTTTACCAAACCCCCATTGAGTAAAAGAACAAAACTTGATATGAAGTAGAACATTCATCCTACAAGCATCCAGCAAGTACGAGGTCCGAGTTCAGAAGAGAATCAGAATCCTGTACTAGGGATCCGGGTCCGGGTCGAATAGGAGACAGCATCGAAGTTTGTGACATTGACAGTTAAGTCGACCAATAGGAAACAACATTTGAATTGGATTGGCAGTCAGGTCGACCAACAAGAAACAACATTGGAGTACATGATATTAATATCTAGACATTTTTGAAACTATGAATCGACCAATGTTAGACCATCATTAGAAACCTGGAAGCACTGGGACTCCTCAGCCTTGTGCATAAAATTGACCAGCAGGAATTAACCAATAGGAATTGACCAATAATTCTCATAGGATATTGGATGAATATCGTTCGAATGTTGCTTCTATGACAGCCAAATATTTTCAATTATCAGTGTGAGATCATTAAGTCATTCCTGATATGAATATTTCCCAGTGGTGCTTTTGATGAATCTGATAACTATGTTTCTCCAGGTTATTATGGTCAACCATACTTTTAGAGATATTTTGTATATAGTTTCATTTGTTCTCCTATGAAGATATAACGTGACTGTGATTTTTCAGAAACGTTGCTTATTAGTGGCTTGTCATTTCCGTAACTGAAGAGTTGGTGTATTTAAGTTAGATGTTAACATACATTGATTTTAAAAGCTCTTTCAACACTGCTTTTGCTTGTTGCATTCTGTAACAATCGACGAACTCAAAGGATCAAGGGCTTACTGTGCAACCTGAAATCCCAGGTTTGATCCCGATTGGTGTCGTGGATTTGCACAATTGAGTAGCGCTATACTACGATTAATCATCTGTAAGATTCTCCGTACTTTTCAACAGTTATACGGATGAAGTTAGCACTCAGTATGAACTAAGACTGATCGGTCTCGGTATGTAATGAAGGAACACAGTAAGACCAGATGGAAGACAAAGTTTACTAGCAAAATCCTCACACCCTATCTTCAAACGTTCTCTTGCAAAGCAATCGGATTATCGTCTGTCTTGTTCTGCACGTATTCAAAACATTCTGATCGCACCAAACAGCTGGATCTGATACTCACTTCAGCAGTAATTTCAGGGTGATACTCTGCTACATATAACCTGCATGCTACGCATGAACTACATCGCAAGCAGTATGCACTCCAGTGAAATTCCTAAACTAACATAAAACATTGTCTGACTCCAAGAATTTCATTTGTAGATATATAATGGCACTAATATCTCCGAAACGACTTTATTTTTCTTTTGTAGATACTTTCATCAAATATCGCAGAGTCATCCATTACCTTTGATGATGTGGCTTATGTTATCGACTGTGGATTGAACTGTGTGGTATGTTTTATGATAAGTAATATATTAGCATACAGTTTACAGTTTTCATGACTGAACTTTACCGTTCTACATAAATGTTACACGGTTTTTCCAACACATTCTTATCAGTGATGAAAGACCTAGTTTGATGATCACAAAGTGATTTTTTGGTGTATTTCTTTTAAGTTTCATGAAAAAATCTATTTTCCAAGATACTTGTTATGAAAAGTACGTTTCTATACATTGTTGTTCGCAGTTTGTATTGATTATTATCTCCACGAAACCTTTAGTATAATATTTGTTTCAAGTACTTTTATTCGTTTGTGAATGATATTGAAGATAACAACAGATGATTCTTTCAAAGGCCCATATGCACACTGAGTGGATTCTTTCATACGGACTGAAGTAACAAATCTTATCGACGGAATTCGAGATAGAGATTCCGTTTTATTAGGGATGTATTCACATCCCAGTGTTGATGGTTTCATTGAGACTGAATACCTATTTCCAAAAACTCCGACACGTTATCCACCAAGCTAATCATTTCAGATCGTCACTAACATTTATTCAGTGCGGTCCCATTCTCAGAAAGGTTTGCTTGTTGTTACTTAAAAGGTTTTAACACTTATAATTGAATTTCTTGCCAGTCTGATAAAGATGAAATTATTTTCCTTCATCTAACAGATATAATCTGGCCTTTAAAGATTTCTAATGTATCACTCATTTTTCGTCTGTTTCATCCGAAATCTTGATATGACTTGTTCAAGCAAATCTAAAGTCGTTAACTTATGACTTGTGATTTCTGTGAATGAATTTAATGAAAGTGTTAATTTAATGACACTGTCTTCACTTTTCTTCACTTAGTGGTTGGTAGGTAGTTAACAAACAAAAATGAAATTTATGACTACACTCCTATCATCAAATTGTCATTAGTGAAAACATTTATGCATGGAAAATTTTGATATTCATGTATCAGTTAACAATTACCAGTACTCGACATATAAATCAAAATTCCATAATCTGAAATATATTTTAATGTATAAATTGTATGTTTCTGTTTAAAAGGAAGAGTTCCTTGATTGGACGCAAACTACATCGTTAAGAAACAAATGGATATTAAAATCAAACGCAATTCAAAGACAAACTAGGTAATTTCATTGTGAAACCTATGAGCTTTTTCTGAAGATTAATTTCTACGTTTTAATTAAATGTTCCAGTCAAAAGTGTTGGTAAACTTTTTATCTATGTTTCATACAAGGTTCCTTCCACTACTTAAAGAAATATCACGCTAAACACATGAACTACCTTCCTCCGTGGTAATATAAAGGCAATGATATATGTAATTTCAGCTAAGAATGTCAGCAAATATTTAGGAATTTAGAACTCAGTTTAGAAGTCAATAACAAAATGTATTTACGACAGTAACATGCTGCTTTGTTATTAGCAGCGTATTATTTCCTCAGAAACTACTTATTAGTAACATGCAATACATGTAAAGATGTTCAAGAAAATGGTCTGACAATTTATCTGCATATTGTTCATTTCAAACAGTTGTGATAAAACAGGAAATTTGTCCTAGAATGTGATATTTGCCGAGTTCATACGGTTTCTTGAATCCAAAACGCTTTGAAATGTTATTAAGGCTGGTTTTTATGTATATGTCTGTCCTAAAATATAAAACCAATTCCTTTATCCTATTCAGATAAGAAAATAATTTACTAGGGTGCATGTAATGATGACATTAGTATAGCTAGATTCAGAATAATTTTCATTTTTACATTTTCATCTTAATGAAACTGTCTGGAATATCGTCCAGCATGATTAAGTAGTATATGACGTGAGCGTCAACGTAATGTATGGCAGCCGAAGATGGGGGAAGATCAAGAAAGGAAGAGTTAGAAAACAATGGAATTTGTATGAAACGCATGAATAGTTACAATGGATTGATGTTTTGCAACAGGAGCAGTCCAGTTCGATATGATGAACTGATATTTTGCAAATGAACGATTTACGATATGGTTTTCCAATTTTACTGAGTAACTCTGTAATTTTCGTTAAATACAATTCGGTTGCCCCACCTGTGTTCTCTTTCACACATTAGCATATATTTCTATTCACTAACTTTTATCGTTAATCACTGAGACTTATTACTAATCTCCGACTGAATTCAAGTGGAAATATAATTTATTTAGGTGTAGTGTATAGGTAATTAACCATGTTGACAATAACCTCGGCAAACGTAACCAAATGAAGTACTATGAATGTCTTCTAGATAATAAGTATCACTTGACGAGAAACGTCTCATTCGTTAAATAAAATCCGTTCTTATTTTGTATAAAGCTTAAAATAGTAAGTAGTAATGACTGAGACTTTTATAAAAAATTTTCGATCTAACATAAGCCATTGCATGTATTCATGATTTTCTCAGCTATACTAAACTATGATATCTGAGATTTTACTTTTGATTAACTACTATTTTTCACACAACAAACAGAGTTGGCGAAAATATCAACGGCGTATGTTTTCGTTTGTACAGTAGCTTACGTTTTATTACTCTTCCTGAACAACGATATGGCAGTTTAAGTGGGCATGTAGTTGAGGTAAGTTATGACCAAACATTTATTTTTTAAATCATTTGGAAAAATTGGTTTTGTAACAACAAAACTTGAAAAAGTAAATACTGTTTATTCTGTGAAGGAATTTGTTCATGAAAATGCTTCAATTTCTAGTTTCGCATAGTAAAATAACTAGTGAACGGACGAGGAAGGAAGTCACTTACAGCTAACCATAGGTTTTAAAATCGTTCGCCATGGCGCCGGTGCATTTATTCTCTGTGTTCTCTCAAATCATAATCTTCTGGATTCTTCAACACTTTTCTCATTTAATCATACTTCTCGAATAATATCTTCTAATCCTAACCTCTCTGATTACTTCTAATACCTTTACTACCTCTTTTACTATAAGATTTGAATTGACAATTACATCTGTGTGCTGATGTGGTATGGCGACATGAACTGATGTACTTATGTACGAAGTTTTACGTTGCATCTGACTGACTGAACCATAGGTTTTATTGGAAATTTCTCTTGTCTCACCATCAGTTTACATTAAAGGCATTAACTATATTTTATTATCATTTTTTAGCAACAATAAGTTGTAAATTTTTAAATTTCTATTTGTTTTCATCTTTAGGAGGCGTGTATTCAAGCTCGACTGCTTGCACCGCCAAACATCTCCATACCAACAGTATTGAGTATATTGCCAAAACCACTTTCACCTAAATCTTCTGAGAAGGCTATCAAAACACTAAAAGTAACCACTGTTTATTTGGGATCGCTTGTTAGAAAAAATTAATTTTCCTATTTGCGTAACATATTTTTAAAGATTTTAAATAGTTTAAAGTGCTTAGTGGAGTTTTCAATACTGTGTAGTAAAAGAATGGGATGTTTTTCATAAAAATATTGTCCATATCACAAATCTTGAACAAATCAACCATATATATATATATATATACATGAATAGTAGATGGACATGTCTACTATATGTTAAAGCCACCTCACTGTATTTAGCGGTCAGTAGGAGATTTCAGGATGATCAGCTGTCAAGGTTTACTGATGATATATATGTGTTTATCAGTTTGTGTAGTTCCACAGAGTCGTTAACATTGTGCTCAAGTTGAAGCAACTTTGAAATCATCCCTCAAGATTTATCAATAAATAAATGAAGAAACTGAATGTTTTAAAAGTCGAAAAGTATTAAACGACCGTCAAAAATAAGTTGCTTCGATTTTTTTTGGGTTTTAAACAGTCTAAGAGATGGACTTTGGGTGCTGCTAGTGTTTATGTGAATAACCTTTGTCCCCCATTGGTACAATCATAGATGTGGCTTCAAGTTATTCCTTGATATTCACTGAATCACACACAATATCGTCTACAATTGTACATTTAAAAACTTTTAAATTGAAATCTGAAGGACATCCCACTACAACTTGTGTTAGTTAATCTTCATTAATAAATAATATAGCGTTAGAATTCTGAAACCAGTTAGTAAATAATATATAAAAATTACTTATTTTTATGTTGTCGTAAACATTAGGAAATGGATGCATTGGACAATTTGGAAGAATTAACTGAACTTGGTTACCATATATGTGATATGCCTATACCGCCTCATTATGCTAAAATGGTTCTGTACAGTGTTGTATTAAAATGTCTTGATCCAATTCTTACAATAGCATGTATACTAGCCTACACAGAGCCATGTAAGTTGAAATTCTATAGTGTCATGGATTGTTGTTTTTCATCGATTTAACAAATCTAAAATAAATAAATATGCAAGAAGAATTTATATATACTACGAATGTATTTTTTACAACCAATGAAGTCAATTATTTTTCAAACATTCATTGATATTAATAATTAAGAAACATTTGCTAAAGTAAATGCCAAAAACAATACGGAACACTCTGTTCATTTACTCATCTAGAAGTTTGATATTTATGAGAAAGATTTTACACGAAGTTCAGTCAGTCAGTCAGTTGCAACGTAGAACTACGTACGTGTGTACATAAGTTCATGTTGCCATACCACATTAGCACAAAGACGCAGATGTCAAATCAAATCCCATAGTGATAAAGAAAGAAGAGGTATTAATGGTAATGAAGAAGACTAGGCTTTGAAGATATTATTCAAGAAGTATAATTCAGTGAGATAAGGTTAGAAAGACAAAGGTAGAGGTGCTGACGAATCCAGTATATTAGGATTTAAGAGAACACAAAGAATGGATGCACTTGCGCCATTGCAAACGATTTTGAGCCATGCCGTTCAAGGTCTCTAACCATTGGTGACCTTCGTCTCGCGGACCCCAACCAGGTAGTCTACATCTACCAACATGACTCAGTCCACTTGTCAGTGACTCTATGGATTTCTGCCATGTTTTGGTCTGCCCGCCCCTAACTTTCTTCCAACCTACTCCTACTCCTACTCGTCGAGGCAGTCGGTGGTTAGGCATACGTAACACATGTCCCAACCACCTCAACTGATGAAGTTTCACCACTTCATCTATTGATCTTGCCCTTTTTACCTAGTACTCGTTTCCTAACGACAGCATTGCTTACTCGGTTGTCCCACGATATACGAGCAATGCTTCTTAAACATCTATGATCGAAGACTAGTAGTCTACGAACATCTACTCTTAACGGCCATGTTACGCATCCATATAGGAGAACGGAGCGAAATGCTGCGCAGTACACTCGTCCTTTGGTTATCGAACAGATATCACGATTACGCCATAAGTGACGCAGGTCGGCAAAAGCCAATCGAGCTTTCTGTATCCGAGCTGAGATTTCGTCAGTCACCAGGCCATCAGCACTGATGAGACTTCCCAGATACTAGAATTATTATTAATGCTATTTTAAAAAGAGATATTTTTATTTCGAATACTCAGTTATTATTCAAATCACACGGTCTGATTTCAACTTTTCGTTTAATCATGTATGAACTGTTGATCTGTAGTGCCTCCACATATATTTCACTTCTCTCACATCTAACTTGGTTAAGCCCTTTCGATTAATTTATTTAACCAAGCCATTCGCTTAGCAACAACTTATATGTACCATTGGTATTTTTTATTATCTGGTTTGTATGAGCTAGTATGACTGAGCATTGCTTAACGCCTACGCACATATGCATCCTATTCGCTTTAATATTAATCTCTTCAATACCACGATGACTCAGATATTTTCCTTTGTATATATACGAACATTTTTATCTTATTAATTCATTCGCACATTCGCACATTCGCTCACTAGTCTGTCTGTCCGGTCTGTCTGTGGTCTGCTGTTATTAATTGTGGTGTGCTTCAATAAACGTATACGATACTCGGAATTCATCTTCTGATTTATTAACCGTCAGACGTCATTTGGATAAGGTAGTCTGAACGAGCTTATTACGAAACGTAAGAACACGCATTAAATCGGCACACCTCAGATCATCATGATTGTATGTTTGTTTCCCATACTTTATGAACTAAACTTTCTAAAACATGTTTCAGTCAGTCAGTTACAACGTAGAACTGCGTACATACATACATCAGTTCATGTTGCCATACCACATTAGCACACGGAGATGGAATTGTCAATTCAAATCCCATAGTGGTAAATGTAGTAGAAGAATTCTTGGTAGTAGGGAAGATTAGGGTTCGAACATATTACTCAAGAAGTATGGATCAATGAGAACTTTTGAAAGCGAAAGATAGAGGTGATGAGGAATTCTGAAGATTAGAATTCGAGGGAACATAAAGAGTGGATGCACCTCCGCCAATGGAAAGAGTTTAGAGTTATGTCATTTAAGATCTCTAACCATCGGTGAGTATCGCCTCGCAAACCCCAACCACGTAGTCGACTCCTACTGACATGACTCCACTCGGTTGTCAATGACTTCATGGATTTCTTCCATGTTTTGGTTTGGCCGCTGGCTTCAAACCTACTCCTACACCACAAATCATAGCTCGTTGAGGCATTTGGTGGTTGGGCAAACGTAGCACATGTCCCAACCACTTCAACTGATGAAGATTCAATACTTCACCAACTGATCTGCCATCCCAATCAAGTATCCGTTTCCTAACAACTTCATTGCTTACTCGATACTCCCAAGATAAATGAGAAATGTTTCGGGGATATGTATGGTCTGAAACCATGTAACCTAAGAATATCCTCAACCCAATCCAACCATGTTTTACAGCCATAAACTAGGACGAAGCTCTCTGCACAGTAGACTCGACCTTTGATTAACAAACGGATATCTTGCCTACGCCACAAGTGATGCGACTTGGAAAAAGTCAGTTGAGCCTACTGTGTCCATGTGGAGATTTCGACAGTTACCAGGCCTTCAGCACTGATGAGACTCCCCAGATAAGCGAAGTGGTCGACTTCTCAACTACGTCACTACCTATCACTAGTTTAGGTGCCGATGCAACCCAATCCTGAGACAACATTTTGCGTTTCGATGTGGAGAGTCACAAGCCGAACATTCTTGCATTGTTGCTTTGGGTGGTCAAAAACTCTGGATTTTTTCAGCTCCTTCATCAAGTAGGATTATATCATCGGCATTTTTTTATGTTAACAAGTGAATGCCCTGAAAGTTCAGATGACACGAAAATCGTCGATTTACCGTTTCGGCTGATTGCAGATCGTGGATAACCGAAGTGACGCTGTAGGCTAGCTGAACTGATCCCTATCTATCCAATCTCGCGGATTGAGAACGAATAACAAGCCAATCCTATTCAGAGATATTCTCACGTACAGTAGAATTCCTAATACTAGTTTCCTTGATAAGTCGGAACAGATGCCTCCTGTTGCCTATTGAAGCTACCTTCTCCATCTCTCTCGCTTTCTCTACCCACCACTGTTAGCGAACGTTCCGTAGGCTTTTTATCAGCTTAAGCCTGAGCTGACTCCGCTCCTCATCGTACTCAGAGCCAGATAGGATGAGTTTCTGATCATCCATCACTTCGATATATTTTACTTAAATCCACCGCTCTAAGTTACTAGTAGATAACACAGCTGTTTCCACAGCTTTTAGGATATCATTTCTAGCTGCCTCAGAGTGGGAATCACATACATGACCGCCTAACTGTTTTTCTGGTTGTTCCTGAAATATATTCTTAGCTTCATTATCATTAAGTAGAACCCAGCGATGGCTGATAGCAATGTAGTCTAGTAGTTTCCATCATTTGGTCGGGGGTCGCCAGGTCAAAAGATGTTTTTCCTTATGCTTAGAGGTAGTGTTTGCTAGAAATAAGCGATCATCTAAGCATAACTGTAGCAGACGGTCGCCAGTATCAGATCTTTGAGTCACGACGCTATAAGATCCACCGGCGTCTTTCCTTTTTATTGAGTCCGAACACTTGAGCATTAAAGTCACCAGCTATTATTATTATATCAGAGCGACTGACTTCTTGGAGTAGTTTAGAAAACTCTGTAAAATTCAAATTTAACTCATCTGAACTGCAGTCAATGGCAGTGTAGGTAGATACGACGAAGAGGCGATGGCGAGTGTACCTATCCTTCCGAATCCGTGCCGTCCCGTTTAGTCGGACAGTGCATAAGCGACTGTCTATCGGAATCCAGTCTAAGAGAGCTAGTTCTGCCCTACGACTCGATACCATACCTACACTGACGAGGCCACGGAAGGCAGCTTCAGGGCCTCCAGATACAGGGGTGTAAACCGAGTTAATTCTCTATCTGGACAAAGTGATATCAAACTGATGATTTTGCTGAGATCCAGAGTGCATGCTCCAGGGACGCAACACACATCGATGGCGCAGGATTCTAGTATCCTAGCTAAGGAAGTCTGTTGCCCTATTTGACACAAGGTTCGAGCATGAACGCTCCAATATGTAGTTTGGAGTGGGGTTCCAGGAGACCTGGAATAACGTTTCGTGAACTCATATCGTTTGCATCAGCGGTAAAGGTTTTTCGAGTATTAGCTCCGCTCTTTTAAAGCCCTTATTAGGCAGCCCTTACTGCCGAAGACAGACATCCGTGAGGTAGGGTGAGGTGTGATATCTTTAGGGTCGACCTTTTCTAACCCTTCCTTCCTTGTGAGAAGGCAGCATCGCTGCAGATGCTGGTTGTCCGAGGGAAACACCTTACTGCTGTCACACCCCTCTGCAGTCAGCAGTACGACTTCGCCCTCAGACCTTGAGTAGCTGCTTTTAGTCTCTTTGTTCTACAATCGGTCTGCCTGGCACGGTAGAACCTACAGGAACATATGTTCCAGCCAGTATAGCTCAATAGGGTGATCACGATAGTCAAGCCCGACCACCACGTCAAGGTAGCCGCTAAGGTATATGGATTGTTTACTGTAAACCATATTGCCGATATCCTATCACAAATTATCGAAATATTGTGTGTTATTTTAATTTGGTTATAAAGTTGATATTCATTTTCTTTTTCATCTTAAATACCATAATCAATTAATGTTTCGTATTGTTATTCATTTATTTTTGTTTTTTTTTAGTTACACTACCTAGGAATTCTGTTGAACGACGAGAGTTATTGAATGTTCGAATGAGTTTATCTTCAGATAGTTATAGCGATCATATGGTTTTATTAAGAGCTTTCCAGGTAAGTATATTATCATTTGTAAACATTACCAGTTTTGGCAAAAATCTCGTTCAGAAGGATGGGAAAAGGCGTTTTGTCGAAAAAATTTTATATCTTCTGCAGCTTTTGAAGTTATTATCGCTATTCGGTGAGTTTATCTCTTACATTTCGGTGAAATTAACAATTCTCTTGGTTTTTTTAAATGAGTTTACAAAAATTTTTTTATATGATTAACTGACTGTGAATATAATGATGTTTAGTAGTGTTAAGAATGATTCAATAAGAAATAAATCTATTTGAAAGCAATCATTAAAATGTTACCAATAGTAAAATACCTTATTGCATAGTTTTGTGATAAGCATAGAAAAACCAACCAATTATCATCATTCTCTATACGTCTGAGTCGAATCCGTTATAGTATACTGTTGCATAGAATCATCTGTTAAAACTTACAAAACAATTTATATTGTATTACTAATCATTAGTTTCATTCAAACTTGTTTCTTCCAACTCCATAAGGACAAATAAACAGTAACTTCTCATCACATTCAATAGTGAAATCAAACAATAGCCATTCCCTACGAACTGAAATGAAATCTTCATTGAAATAATGTCTAATATTTCATCCATTAATATCTCTCGTAAAAAATGAGTAAATTTTGTGATCGTATGTTGCTTAATTTCATAAGTGTATTCATGTATTGTTGAAATTATCATAAATTTCATTGGTAATTGTTACGTTTTAAGGCAGAAGTACCATTAGGAAATTGTCAGTAGTATTTGAATTTAATTTAATAATATTTCAACAAATTTTATAAATTCTATGTATATTCCAAATGATACTTAAAATGTATGTTTATCAAGCCTTGAACCGTGCTGATTAAAGAATGTTGATTACTACTGAGCTTATCAAGTACTTGTATATTATATTATTACATAATCAATGCTTTTCATTCAAAGCTTGGATTTTTGCAAATTATTTGATTTAGAACTCAAATACTGGGGCAACTTAGAGCTTCCGGTTTCGTAAAAACCAAAGGAAGTGGAGACATTCGAGATCTTAACAGTAATTCCGAAAATTGGGCTGTTGTCAAAGCTGCGATTGTAGCTGGTATGAATGGAAATATAGCTCAAATAGATAGAAAAAATTCGTGCCTGAGAACATTAAACAAAGATTCATTACCGGTAAGCTTTACAATGATTTCTTCATATGACATATCAGTAACACATGACTGACTACAGTCATTTTACAAAGCACTGAAGGACTGTAAAAATTGTTGCATGTTTTGTTATGAACAAATCAGGTTGTTTCAATGAAGCATGATCAAATCTATGTACTATGTACTATGCTATAATAACAAACGAAATCAAAGATCGTTACATCTATTTACTAAAATTACACTCGGACCAATATGTTAATGGATATATGTGTCCTATGAAAGAATAATGTTTGTAATAAGTTGCCTAAACAGAATAGCCTAAGCCAATGAAAACACTGGCCTTATTAATATCCTGTAATTTTATTTATTTTTAAAAATAAATAAAAAAAGCTTATAAATGTGCAAAAAATATATCTAGAACATATCAGTGGTTTGTTAATTGATTTGTGTTCGAAATTCTAACTGTTTTGATAAACCGTCAGATTGTTTTAACATGCTTCTTACTTTACGGGTTTGTGAAGATTGTTAAGTTACTCACTGAAATCATGAATCGATCAATGTTAGACCACCATTAGAATCTAACGGTGTTAATGTCTAACTTCGATTAATTCACGGTCTTGCGCAACCTCATTAGTTACTGTTTACACCCGATCAGCGTATGAGGTTGCGCAAGACCATGAATTAATCGAAGTTAGACATGGACACTGTTAGATACCGGCTCCATGCTTCTTACTACAATTAGTTTTACAACAAAGAAAATAGATCTCAAAAGATTTGGAAATGGCACTTTTCAAACTTTACTTAATAATCTGAAACAGCGATAGCAAAGAATCCATGTTTTATGTCACTTATTTTTTAACATTTTGCTGTTATGAAATTAGTCACCAGTGATTGATTGTTCAACTGTTACACTTTTGATATTGTATTAGATTGTGCTTGATCCTCAGTCTGTGATTGCTACAAATGCTGATGGAGCAGAAATAAATGTGAATAATTTACCTTGTGATTGGCTAGTTTTTAATGAATTATTTACTTTAACCGATGCAAGGCTACACAGTTCTCCCAAATTCACCAATACTGATCATACCATCGCAAAGGAACTAAGTATCATACGATGTGTAAGTGTCGTCTCGCAAATTACTATAGCTCTGATGGGCGGATCGATTGGAGTATTTCCACGAATAGTAAAAGAAACCAATTCGAGTGTAAATGGTAAGCAAGTTTTATAAATAGCTAAAATACATTGTATTACTACGTAATTGACAACAATGTACTCCAGTACAAATAATTGCAAATGTTTCAAAGTATAGTAGCATTCATGTTGACAGAGAACGATTATTCGTGGATGACTCTAGACGTTTCTTTTCCAATTTTTTCGTGTATGCAGTGTAAAAGGTAACTCATTCGATATTGGTTATTAAAAATGATTTGATAATCGGATTAATTTCTGAAACAGAATTAGCGTTTAAATCATTTTCAAATTTGTCTTGTGGATTCACACATGTCATGGTGTCATAGTTTTCGTTAATGTTGCTTATACCACTAAAACTTCCTCGTCGGTTAACTACGTTTTCACACTTTCAGGAGTGGACCATTTACCAGGAGACACGCTTGCTGACTTAGAGTATGTTGACGAGATAGTCCTATTTGGTGAAGACGCTGACAAAATACAGTCTTCTGACTACCCTGAGCAACAATGCAAGCATGTTTGGGATGAGGTTTTCCCCCTTGAAATGCATAGTGGTGCTTCAGGATTGGCTTGCGACTTCACCAGAACTAGTGATGGAGAGTGAAGTAGTCGAACGTGTAGACCGCTTCAGGTATGTGGGGAGTCTGATCAGTCCTGATGGCCTGGTTTGTGACAAAATCTCAGCTCGGATACAGAAGGCTCGATTGGTTTTTGTCAACTTGCGTCACCTATGGCACAGGCGAGATATCCGTTTGCTAATCAAAGGACGAGTGTACCGCACAGCAGTTCGCTCCGTTCTACTCTATGGAGGCGAAACATGGCTGGTGAGAATAGAGGACATTCGTAGGTTGCTAGTATTCGATCATAGGTGTGTCCGAAGCACTGCTCGTATATCCGGGGACAACCGAGTAAACAATGCTGATGTTAGGAAACGAGTATGAGGTAAGGATGGCAGGTCAGTTTATCAAGAATTGAAACTTCATCGGTTGAGGTGGTTGGGACATGTGTTACGAATGCCTAACCACCGACTGCCTCGTCGAGCTATGTTTTGTGGTGTAATAATAGGTTGGAAGAAATCCAAGGGTGGCCAGAACGAAACGTGGCAGAAATCCATGAAGTCACTGACAAGTGAACTGAGCCATCTTGGTTGATGTAGACTACGTGTTTGGGGTCCGTGAAACGAAAGCCATCAATGGTTAGAGACCTTGAACGACATGACTCAAAATCGTTTGCAGTGGCACAGGTGTATCCATTCATTGTATTCTCTCGAATTGTAACCTCCTGATTTCTTCATCATCTGTATCTTTATTTTTCTAAAGGCATCTCACTGAATTATACTTCTCGAGTCATGTCTGTTACGCCTGCACGTAAACACGTCATTTTGACATACTTGAACTATTACGAGTTTACCTTGGTCGGAAAACGAGAGTGAGGATCGAGGATCCGGCGACACGACATGCTACTCTAGTCAGAGTGTCCTAACCCCCATATTGATTAAAAGTAAGAAGACTTGATATGAAGTAGAACCTGTATTCTAAAAGCATCCAGAACGTACGAGGTCCGAATCCAGAAGAGAATCAGGACCCCGGACTAAGGATCCGGGTCCTGGCCCTAGAATGTTACAGATAATGCCTATTTATACATTTAGGTTGAATAGGAAACATCATCGAAGTCTGTGACATCGGCAGTTACGACAACCAATAAGAAACAACATTTGAAGTGACATTGAAATTCAGGATGACCAATAAGAAACAACGAGGAGCAAGCGACGTTGATATCTGGGACAATCATAAAATTGACCAGTAGGAATTAACCAATAGGAATTGACTAATAATTCTCTTAGGATATTGGATGAATATCCTAGCGATATCTTCGAACCCTACTTTTCTCCATTACTGCTAATACTTCAGCTATCTCTACCACTATGGGATTTGAACTAACAGTTGCGTCTCTGTGCTGATGGGGTATGGCAGCCTGAACTTATTTACTCATGTTCGAAATTCTACTTTGTAACCGACTGACTGACTGAAGTTTTCACACTCCTACTTTTATGATTCTTCAGAAGATGCTTTTAGATTCATGTCTGAAATAATTAAAAAACCATCAACAGAAGGAAATTAAATTACACATTAAAAGTGATTCGAAGAATTTATTTTGTTTAAAGGTTCTCTCAGTTTGAATCAGATTTTTATACATATCTTCAGAAAAAGAGTGAATAAAACGAATTCTTAAGAATAAATACCGTGTCCGTAATGAGATGTGCTTTCTTTAATAAATTTTAACGCAAGGTCGAGCATTAAGGTTATGCCAGCACGAATACAAATCACTACTGATGATATAATTCTGTACTGAGTCAGTCAGCTACACCGTAGAACTTCGTACGTACGTACATCAGTTCAGAGTGCTATATCAAATTAGCACAAATGCCATATGACAACACTCAAACAAAATAAATTCTTTGATTCATTTTTAATGTATACTACTTAAATGGAGCAATTTTGATTTTCTTTTGTTTATGGTTTTCTTTTAATTATTTCAGACGTGAATCTAAAAGCATCTTCTGAAGAATTACAAAAGCATGAGTGTGAAAACTTAGTTAACCGACGAGGAATTTGTAGTGGTATAAGCAACATTAACGAAAACTATGACATCATGACATGTGTGAATCCACAAGACAAATTTGAAAATGATTTAAACGCTAATTCTGTTTCAGAAATTAATCAGATTATCAAATCATTTTTGATAACCAATAGTCACCTATTATCGCCATGTATTCATCAAAATACCCGTGAAGCTCTACTTTCAATCATACAGCAAAAAGCAATTAAACAAAATTTATACAATATAATGTCGAGCTCAGATACAATGAGTTCTAGTTTTAAAAGTTTGGAATTAAATGATTCTGCTTCAACAATGCTAACAAATTTTAAACCTATGCAAATCTCAGATTGTTCAGATCATGTCAAATCACTGCATCTACGAAAGCAAACTAAGATTAATGATCCATCGATGGAACTATCAAATATGACGTCATCGTCATTAACAAACGACCAAAACAATGATATCGTCTCCTTTTATGTAGACCCAGATGGATATCTTCGATTTACTTTAAGTGCAATTGAAGCTCTTATGGTGACAGAATTACGACAAAAATGGCATGCTTTGCTTTTACGTCGTTTGAAAAATCCAGGGAAGCAATGTTCTCATGAAGACGAGGTAAGATAAAATTGTTTAGTATAAATTAGTTAATTATCAGTAAATAGGTTTCTGAAGATTACTATTATGGATATCATTTACAAACCCAAGGGAGATATCCACTCTCGTATATCAATCTTAAGCGAACCCTATTTGTGCGCCGGTGGAAATTAAAAGCCCAATACGGTTCTGTGAATGAATTTATTTCATATATATTTTTTACAATAAGACGGCGTTAAAGTGAAGCGAAGTGAAGTCAAGCGGAGAAGACATGCGTTAGCTCAATGAGATGAGGCGTGACTCATTATTTATAGTCAGACAAAAATAAGCTAGACATGTTGAAAGCAAGTCAGCAGTGCACAAAAACAAGCGAAATCTCCTAAGGTTATGAACGAAGGGAGCATCCACTTTATCCGATATATTACTTTCACAATTGGAACAGTTTATTTTGTAGATGATATTGTCATTTCTTCCTTTGGTTTGCATAGAATTGATTGAAGTGATTTTGCTAGTTGGTGTGATAAGCCTATTCCAAATGACTTCAGTAGGATCATAGGTTTGTCAATTCCTATACTCGATTTCCTTATTACTGATGATTCGGGTTGGTATTTTTTGGTGGTAGGTTGCTGTTCTTTTGAAGGATCCTCATCAGATATGTTCATTCATTCTTCAGCGTTGCAAGTATGCTGAAATGGGTTCTCGCTCTCCTGAATAGAGATTGAATGGTTGATTTTGTGAGTTCCTGGGTTGTTACCATTGCAGTTGATAATATGATCGAGGTGGGTTGGCCTCTAACATATACACTATCTTCCCTAGTTATGAGTTACTTTAAGGCTTTTTCTTTCCTGTTGAGTTTCGTCATTTGTCCCAACGCTGTTGAGTAATGAATGATTCTATTTTTTAACTACGATACAATGGACAATTTAAAAGAATTCTTTGCCTCCATACAGCCATTGTTTTGTATCAAATAATTCAGTTGTTCATACCATATTTTTGTCTGTAGTGTTTGTTTAAATAGTATCTTGAAGTTATGGACGACCAGTTCTCCACATTGCTATATTACTTCAACCTTGTTTGCTCCCATAGAATTACATGGTTTCATTTTTCACTGAAATCACAAATTGTTCAATAATAAATCACTGTTGGGATCTTGGTAGAACTAGACGACGGTTTCGTCCTAGTGCTAGACTCTTCAGTAGTGAACTTCCATGACCCCACCGTGGGATTCAGACCTAAGACGTCCAGTTTAGTGCACGAACGCTTAACTCTAGGCCACTGAGTCGGCATCCAATGGTGTTAAAGTCCAACGTCAATCGGTCCATGATATTGCTCGACCATCTACTAACGTCCAGTGCTTCTAGATTTTCAATGTTGGTTTTACACTTATCAGTTTATGACCCCAATAAAACCTAACCATTCCTACCATCCTACACATATGGTTTTAATTTTGCTCTAACGACTTACAGGAAAACAATCAACTGTACAATATTACTGAGATGAATTTGTTGCAGCTTATGTTTGGTTATAAAAAGTTTAAAGATTTACCTATTTTTATGAGCTCATTCTAGTCACATATCCAAAATTTTATGTAAAATGACATTGCGTCATGTATTCAAATTAGGGATAAGTGTGATTAAAGTGGTTAAATGGCAAACTTCGAATAAAAGAACTATAATCTGTAGATCTCAATACATAAATCTATTATTGTGGTTAATGATTTAGTCATCATAAGTGGAGAAAGTTGTGGTGACGCGAAATCTCCTGAAGAAGAAATTGATTGATAATTTTACTTATAATAACCTAAGAACTCATTGGTAAACCATAGAGATGTGAGGAAAAAGAGACCAAAGTTATGGTATGAACAGCATAAATAGTAATTAAATGATCTCTTTTGATGTAACTTCACTGCTTATCGAAATACCACTTTTTGAAACTGTAGACATAATGTTTCAACATTCTGATGTCATTTTTAAATTCTGGAATTTCTCCTCCCATACTTTACAGATCTTAACATATCTTTTATGACCCCAGTAACTTTATTGGGAACTTTGCTACATCATGACATTTATTCATGTCTAATCACCTTCGTATTTATAGGAAAATCAGGTTCAATGATAAGTTTAATTTTAGAAGAAGTTGTAGGCAGCTGATGAGAGAACCCAGTAAAGCAAAATGAATATCGTATTCTTCTGCACAAATCTTTATTTTTGCTCTCATCAAGATAATAAAAGGAACGGTGTACATAAAATCTTGAAATTCGTTTAAAAATTCACTAATTATAACTGAGCCAGTATTTTAAGAGTATGAGTTCTCAAAGCATTTCAATGAATTTACAAGTAGTGCAATCGATTATTAACCTTTTTATTATTATATTCACCAATTATTGCTTTATCGAACACAGGCAGTTTTAAACTGTTTAATCAATGTTTTAACCAATGAAGAAAAGGCAATAGGATTACGCCAACCATTCGGTGTTGGAGCACGTCCTCGTCCTATGGCAGTAGAACTTTATAATCAGGTTGATGACACTCAAAGTATCGGTTGTAAAGGTGTGAAAGTAGTCAGTGAACAGCCTCTGAGTAATAGATATGGATCAAATGTTTGCATCACTGCAAAAAATAACACCACTATACCGATATTTTTGTCAAACACTAGCCTGATAAAACAAAATAATGTCATATATAACTATTCTGTAATCACAAATCCAAAATTACTACCACAAGTTTTAAGCACCAATGATTTAAACAAACTCAGTGAACAGTATTCACTTCAAGCTTACAAAGAGGATACTAATTTAAGAATATACGATCCAATCAACCAAATAAACTTTTCAAGCACAGAAAGATGGAAATATCAGCTCTCTTCGAATACGACTGAGGAAATCGATTCAACGTCCATCTGTCAACCACCAAAAGTAAGTTGGCTTCCAGACGTTTGTAATTCAACAGTTAAAATCAAGTTATTTTGAATTTTTAATAATTTCTACCACAGTGGGTAACTTGCTGATTCATTAACGAGACTTCTAAGTGGCTTGGAACGGTGGTCTAACGATTATAGCACTCGGTTTATTACAGTCATGAAAAATCGTACGTTCAAACTCGATTCTACCAACTTCGAGTTGAGTAGCCGTACTATACCACTAAAAATATTTATCAGACAGATGAACAACCATAACCAAGATGAGTGAATTTAAAACATGGCTGTTGAAACTCGAAACTTTCATCGCTTTTATTTTAGAAACATTGAATGATAGTTTTATTGTGAGAGGAACTAATAAGGGTTAGGAATCAGTGTTTAAGAGTACTACGGTCAGTATTTAATGTTAAGAAGTCATAAGGTTAGGAGCTATGGTCAAGAGATTTAAGGGTTCAGTCAGTCAGTTACAACGTAGGACACAAAGAACGGATGCACGTGAGGAATTACAAATGGTTTTGAGCCATGTCGTTCAAGGTCTCTAACAACCGGTCACTGTCTCGCGGACCCCAAACAAGTAGTCTACACCTACCAACATGATTCAAACAACTTGTCAAAGACTTCATGGATTCCTGCCATGTTTTGGTTTGGCCTCTGGCTTTCTTCAAACCTACTCCTACACCGAAAACCATAGCTCGTCGAGGCGGTTCGTGGTTGGGCGTACGTAACATGTTCCAACCACCTCAACTGATGAAGTTTCACCACTTCATCTATTGATCTGCCATCCTTACTTAGTACCCGTTTCCTAACTATAGCATTGCTTACTCGATAATCCCAAGATAAACGAGCAATCTTTCGGAGATATTTATGACCGAAAACCATGTAGCCTACTAATATCTACTCATACTGGCCATGTTGCACAGCCATAAACTAGGACGAAGCGAACTGCTGCGCAGTAGACTCGTCCTCTGATTAGCAAACGGATATCTCGCCTGCACCATAAGTGATGCGACTTGGCGAAAACCAGTCGAGTCTCCTGTGTCCATGTTGAGATTTCGTCAGGCACCTGAGATAAGTGAAGAGTTCGACACACTCAACTACTTCACTCCCTATGTTGTCATTAAGTAGAAGCCTAAGAGGTTTCCTTACGGTGTCTTTCCTACGTCCAGTAAGCTCAAACATATACGTGCTCTCACTAGAGCATGATCTGAATCTAGATATGTGCCCCAGAACGAGCGGCAGTCCTGTATCGAACCTCTCCATAGGTGGCTGATGGCGATGTGATCTCGTAGGGTACAGCGTTCAGACAATTTTGGGGGTCACCAGGTTAAGAGATGTTTTTCCTTATGCTTAAGGTTAGTGTTTGCTAGAAATGGGCGGTTATCTGAGCATAGCTGCAGCAAACGGTCGGCATTATCTGATCTTTGAGCCATGATACCATGAGATCCACCGGAGAGTCTTATCTTTTCACCTAGTCTACCTACTTCAGCAAATAAAGTCGCCAGCCATTATTACTGTATCAGAGAGCTTAACTTTTTGAAGTTTAGAGACGTTTCTGTAAACCTTATCTTTTATGTCGTCTGAACTGCAGTTAGAGAGAGCATAGGCAAATACGACTAAGGGGCAACGGCGAGTGTCCCTATCTTTCCGAGTTCTTACTGTCCCGTTTAGTCAGACAGCGCACAAACGACTATCTACTGAGATCCAGTCTAGGAGAGTTAGTTCTGCCCTAGGATTTAATACTATACCTACTCCGGTGAGGCTACAGGAGGCAGCATCAGGGCTTCCAGATACTCCAAGTGTAAACCGTGTTGTTTCTCTATCTGCACAGATTGGAATCGAATTGATACTCGGATCTTGTATGCGCGTTTCGAAGACAACATACACCGATTGCACGTGATTCCAGAGTTCTAGCTAAGGAAGCCTGTTGCCCTATTTGATACAGTGTTCGAACATTAAAAGCCCTAACATGTAGTTTAGAGCTGGGTTTCAGGAGACCAGCAATAACTTTTTGTGAACGTGAATCGTTTGCATCAGCTGCGTTAGATGACACAGAAACGAAAGAAGGGTTAGTCGCGGAGTTAAGTGAGTTATTAGGTGTAGAAAGGATTTGATTCTGACCGATTTGGTCTCGTGTGCTCTTATGGGTATGAGGGCGGATATTACTTCCAGGCTGCTCGCACCGTGGAAGGGCTCTGGTTGTCAGAAGAGGCATCTACCTCGTGGCTTCCTGGGGGACGTCATAACTCTTACAAATGAAGACCTCCTAACTCCCAGGACAGAGTTTAAATGGTTTGAATTATTTTTTCTTGTTAGCGTTATTTTAACGAGTTGGGGTTGTCAACCCCCGAGCCCATCCCTCCTCCTTTATCCGGGCTTGAGAGCGGCAGCAGCCCCGGAGGGGCTCCAGGTGTAGTTGGTTTAAGGGGTTAGAAGTTAGACTTTAAGAGATGTAGGGCTAGGAATGGAGTCTAGATTGATTACAGATTTATCGACATTTAGCACTAGTAAGTTCATAAAAAATATATTAAAACTCCTAATCCTCCGTAATTGGTCGATCACACAATCATTTCGACGATCACTAGAGTTTGTTGATACAATATAGTTTCACCGAATTCCCTCTTAGGTAACGAACCTACGCCAGGTTGTTTGATAACTTACATACCATATTATGAAGTATTCACAGAAACAGATAATTTTCCGAGAATACAAATAGAATGACATAATATCTAATTGTTGTTAATGTGTTTAACTCAGAATCATCAAAACTTTTCAAGTAATCTACTATCAATGTATATACAGAGAAACCTTTTCACAGTTCTCAATATAATAATTATTGTTATAATATCACGATAACGATCAAAGGATTAGCCATATCATTATATTTATCACTAGCTAATTTCACCTTATAAGTAACTAAATACTAACTCAAAATAAAAACTAACCTAAATAATTTACATTATTTCTATTTCAGGCAGGTACTTCATTACCAGAAGGCAACAACACTTCACAGGTAACATCAAAATTATACAGTTCAAGAACGAAATAAATCCAATTACTATTTATGTCTGTGTCTGAATTTATCCCATTAATAAACTGTATAATTCACACAACATTCACACAATAACATAACACACAATAACACATAACATATCAATAACATAACAATAACACAATAACACAATAACATAACAATAACACACACAATAACATCATTGTTCGTGATTAACTGTATTCATCTGCCCAACTTCCATTTGTTCATGTATTAACTTGTTGAAATGTATTTTTGGTTTATTTTGTTATTGATCAAGTTGCAATACTAATCTTATTCTCTCATCTCTTAGTTTATGAGCTGAAGGGTTAGGGGAATAGTCACATGACTTGGAAAACATGAGGCTTTGAAGCATTTCATTGACACCACCTCTAGTCAGCTCCAAAATAAGTTGACTGATATTGGCTGGTTAGTCTTAAAACACCACCAGTAATACAAGTTCTGTTCATCACATGAGACTGTTTGTGAAATTGACTTTAACTGAGAGATGATAATCAGATTAAGCAGAAAAAGCGCTGAGGTGTATCAGCCAGAACTTCTGGTTTTAAACGAACCGATATAAGCAGAAGGAAGTTAAGAAATACGAGCAGATAAAAGAGTGATGAAGGAAGAAATCTGACTTTTAAAGTGAGTAATGAAAACAACTGTAACGATAGAGTTTACGTTGATTATCATAACTTTCATTCATTACTTTACAAACAACAGCAAAATGGATTGTATTTCGAATTTATCAAATCATTGTTTGGTTGGAAATGGCTAAAAACATATGGCTTAGAAACCATCTAGGACTTTGATTATTCTATTAAAAAGTCATAGTCACTTTTATGCATTACTCCGTAATGCGGATAAGGGTTTTTCCAAGCCATAAAAACTGCACTTTTTACAGCAACGTTTTTACGTATATCGATCGCACAAGGTCACGCTGCATCGGTACACCTTACTTGGAAACCTAATTGTGTAGAGTGAATGAGGTGTTACAACATTTTGCTATGTTTCATATGAAAACCAAGGAAAACTTATGATGAAGTAAGATTTGTTTATTAAATAATCAAATTATGTACAATTTATTGTATGAAAAGTGGAAAAGTACTTTATTTTAGTCGCTTTCCTCTTCATCACTTATTTTCGCACGTACTTTCTTACGTGATCGAGGTTCTGATATCTATCGAAGAAAATAAGATATACTCACTAAAATGCAGGAAACGTTTCAAGAACAAAAAGTGCATAAACTTGTAAGATTTTTTAAAAATTATTTTACTACTAGGAATAAAATAACATCAAATGTAACAGCGAAATTCATACTCCGTTTAAATCATACACAAGCTTGTTTAGTGAACTCTGAGAAGCTTTCAGATAATATGGAACGCTTCACGATGAGGTACTCAAAACTATGATTCGAATATATGTGAAGATCAATTGTTTAAACCACTAGAATACATATTTTCATGAGATTAAAGTTACATTAATTCTTGGTAGTAGTAATAACGATTCAAAGCGGGAATTCTAATTGGAAAACAATTCATTTTTCGGCGATTAAATCTAATATATCCAGTGTACGAATCTAATCCAACTCAATGTAATATCACTTTATTGTAAATAAACATTTTAAGTGATTCACCGATTCTGTATCTGTTTGAAGTAACATTATATTCACATGTTGAATTATGTTCAGTAATACACAACTAAGCTCTATTTACAGGTGCACGTGGTATTTCATAGATGAACTAAACAGATGAAACGTATTTAAACATTATCATAAAGCATTACTTATTACGACTTACATCACTTAGAGATTCCTCATCGGATGAATAAATTGCTGAAACATCTGAAGTGATTAGAAAAGAATACAAGAAGAATTACTTGTTACAATAAAATAATAGGAAATTCTTAGAAATTTAAGATTATGGAGTATTAGAGAGTAATCACGGGAGTATAACCTAAATTTTTTTGCGATAAGAATAAGGATGTGCATTAATAGAATAAGATCACAAGAACAACGGTGAAACATGTTTGGCTATCGTGACTTTATAGTCTTGTAATCGATCATTACTAGATACTTACTCCCTTCGATAGGCACTCTGGAATTCTACCTGTGTTGTAAGAAGAGTAAATCTCAAAAATTAATGGATTGACATAGTTTTATTAGTCCCGAAATTTAATTTACCTTTACGTGCAGCCAACAATGAATTCTTCGCATTTCTTTTTAATGCATTTAAAGATGTTGTATTACCATCATCTTCATCATCATCTTCGCCGTAACTTCGCCTACGTTCACTACCGAAACTATTTCTTGACATGGCCTGTTTTTCACGCATACGCCGTAACTGACTTTCACGCCTTAATGTAGCACGCAATTTCTCTTCTTCTTTTCTCACAAGCACATTACGATTTGATTCTGGGTCCACACCCGTGACAGGAAGAATTTTGACCTAAGTTGGAATGATGTATACAGCAAGTAATTTAGAAGTATAATAAGTAACGGAACAAATAAAGACATGTAGAGTAGATAAGATACTAGACTCGAGGTTAAGGAATTCAGCCAGTGTAGCCGTAAATTTCGAATTTTTATTATAACTCAGAACCGTGCTTTATCTTTCAGCGTTCAGATGCATAACTAACTGAAACAACGTTTAAGTGACAGGAGTACATCACAGATTCATTAATACACTTAAACTTTAGTCAGTTATAGAGCTATATCAATTTAAACCTGTTTTCATCAATCAGTTGCTTTACCATGCTATAGTGAGACGTTTGTTCTAAATCCAGTAACATAGTAATGCATGTTTCAAAGTCCAGCTGTCAAGGCTAGTAATGCTATTCGACTGCCCAAACCGAAGTTTATTGGTACTCAAACCTGGAGATTAACAAATTAAAACTCACTAATTAAATTATCAGATTAGATTCTGAGAGTGTTATTGTTTGAAGAATAAAATACTCATATGTTAAATCTGAAGTACATAGATGTTGCTATTATTTATATTTACATTCACTGTACTGATGTATGAGCATCATTATCATTAAGACAGTTTTCGGTAGTTCCTAATAATAATATCGACACACCATACCTTCCTTTATTTAGAAATGTTGAAAACAGTGTAACTTAAATGCCAGTAGAAAGATGTTTTCTCATGAAAACTTGAAAGGGTCATTGAAAGTGCTCAAAGAAAGTAGCTAACCAATTACGTCCAGAAAATAGTTAACAGGATGTTTCAAGTCTTGGAAATCCAATACATTCTGTACGTTAAATTGGTCAGAGTCATTCAGTCAACAGTTGAATAAACCTCAGGTTTGAGTTGGTGGGTGGTGCATGTAGGCTTCAGTAGAAACGAACAATGGAAGTCTAAACGTGGTGAGATGTTGGTCGTGAATACCATTGAACATAGACTTCGAACAACATCAACAAGAGTTTCAAAGACATGGTATTATAAATTACGATTTTTAAACTCAAAATATGTAAGCTATGGTAAAAAGTATCTATAACAAAAGGCATATCCATATGAAATTGTTACAGATATCGTCGACAGTTATTATAATTCAATGAGTTTCAAGTGATGTAAACTATCAGTCTTAGTTTCATGAACAGGCAATTTCTTTATAAATTAGAAATGCACTAACCTTTTGTAGTTTATTTGTTTTATCTGCTAATGATAACGTGATTTTACGATGCGTAAATGAATCTGTTGAATGCGGCCTATGTGTTGTAAAAAATATATGTATAAATGGACATTTTTATTTTGGTCATAAAATAAAGTTAATACATAAGAGAATTTTTGTTTATGTTAGCCAACAGCGAATTTAATTTGAAATTCGACTTTCTTATAGCTAAATTATTACCTATGTTAATTAAATAGCATTAACAGGACGGAAAATGAACTAAACATCACATAATTATTTCACAGGTCTTGAGTGAGCACAAAAGTTATCTCACTTAAAATGTACTACTTAGCACTAACTTTTTGTGTAAACCAGATCACATCCTGTAGACTCAACCGAGTGGTTGGATGGTTTACGAAAAGTTACAAATAATGAAGATCATTGAGGTGAAGTACCAACAAACAATTTATTTGTCAAAAACTTCGAAACAATGACGGCGACCACTTCTATTTATTCATAACAGTAAAAGCTTTGAAATTAAACCATACATTTTATAGAAAGCAGCAGTTTTAAGATGCATCCACTTAAGCTAGAAGTTTTCAGTAATATATCAAAGTGATGAATTCTTTTTCACTAAACGAAAGCGTAGAGTTATCTTTAGTCCAGAATCAAACTTCAAATGAATCGTCTTACTGTTCAGAGAATAATTTGATCGTTGATCATTTCGTTGACTAGTATAAATGAGGTTGTCGTTTTACAATATCACGGAAGTGAACAAATCAGTATTGTTTGAATACTCATCAACTTAAGTTCTATCATACAATTGATCAATGTTGAATTAGGTTTGGACAGCCAGTTAATGTAACTAGCACAGACAAAAAATGTCCGCCTCACAGGAGAATAGATAGACAGACAGATACAACGCAGAACTTCATACATAGGTATATCAGTTCAAGTTGCCATACCACGTCAGCACAAAGACGTAACTGTCAGTTCAAATCCAAGAGTGATAGCGATAATAGGATTATTAGCAGCAATGGAGAAGATTAGGGAGCGAAGATATGATTCGGAAAGTATAATTCAGTGAGATAAATTTGAAAGGAGAAAGATAGAGATTAAGCGGAATTCAGAAGGTTAGAATTAGATGCACTCGCGCCACTGCAAACGATTTTGAGCCATGTCGTTCAAGGTCTCTAACCATTGGTGACTTTCGTCTCGCGGACCCCAACCAGGTAGTCTACATCTACCGACATGACTCAGTCCACTTGTCAGTGACTTCATGGATTTGTGCCATGTTTTGGTCTGGCCGCCCCTAGCTTTCTTCCAATATACTCCTACACTTCAAACCATAGGTCGTCGAGGCAGTCGGTGGTTAGGCATACGTGACACATGTCCCAACCACCTCAACTGATGAAGTTTCAATACTTCATCTATTGATTTGCCATCCTTACTTAGCACCCGCTTCCTAACGACAGCATTGCTTACTCGGTCGTCCCAGGATACACGAGCAAGACTTGTGTCCTTTCTTATAAATTGGGAAAATCAGTGATTGAGAGCACTCGGATGGGATTATGTCCAGTTCCCAGATTCTACCTAAGATCTCAGTCAACCTAGCAGCAGAATACGTTAGTGTAAATTTGGTACATCTGTTACAACAACAATTCAGATGGGAAACTAAGCGACCTCAACTTTCTTATTAGGGTAAGGGCGATTTGTAATGGATAACGAGTTATAAATGCATAAACCAAATTTTAAAAAGATCAAGTGAAAAAAGTACTATTACCAGGGTCCAAGAATATAATTAAATTAAAATAAAAAAATGAAGTATGCCCGCCACAAACAAACCTGAATGTTAACTTAGTTTTTAGACTTGATTGTCCTTGTAAACCACTGCCTTCTCGTATGAACAGATAATTATAGTCTGAATGAATATCTACTTTGTGTATGTCGAAAATTTCATCACCAAGATGTAGTGACAGAGAACCATCCGACCAACGAACAATACGAGCATTTGATTCGTGAACCATTTCACCATCAGCTGTTTTACCAATTCTCCAACGTATTGTGTTTTCCACCTGGAATACAAAAGGATTTCTGTCAAAACGTACTCATAGTCACGGACATAAACATGCTTGCATAAAATTCGATAAACTTTGATTCACTCCTTAAATGTAGCAAAGTAGTAGGTTAATAAGATATGCTCCAGAGTACTTCTTCTCAAAACTAAATAGCATATAAGTGACTTATTATGACTAAGTTTTTGTTGTTATCTTACACTTTATGTAATGGGACGGAGACGGTAAGAAGCTACACTGTTTCATTATTAAAGAATATTAGATAAAGAATTTTAAAACTTAAAACTTTAGCACGGAATTTTTTAGTTTCATTATCAAGTTTTGAATCAAAGGTTCTTAACAGATTGAGTAATGAAGTTATCAATATTTCTACTAATTCAAAACTATTGAAAAATAACTACTGAGTATATCATCTATTCGGTATTTAAACTTAGATCTTACATATCGCACGTTACGAGCTCTTTTATCTCTCTCTAAACAAAGTGATACTATTAGTAAATGTGGTATTCACAAACACGTTTCTGAAAAAGAAATTAGTTAAAATAATAATTTACGAGGTTGAAAAACGGAATCATACTTTTAGTTTTAAACGAGTCCGTCCTTCTTCATCTAAAATTTCATCTTCATCCAGTTCATCTTCGTAAAAGTTAGGGTCGAAAGGACGAGTTTCAACCGACAAAAAATTGGGCATTTTTACCAAATGTACCTCCCTAATAGAGCATTAAATTTAAAAAATGCAATTAGTCTTGATGTAAGTAAAATACGCTTTCAGTATGTAGTTTTTTTTTATTTTTATTCTCCAAGATCATCAGCAAAAGAATCCGTTAGTTTAACAAAATTCAGCATGTGAAAAAAATTACTCTACCTTTGTCTTTCTAAACTTATCTCACTGAATTATACTTCTTGAATATTACCTTAAAATCCTAATCCTCTCCATTAGCAGTAATTTTTCTGCTATCTCTACTACTATGGGATTTGAATCGACAATTGCGTCTCTGTGTTAATGTGGTATGGCAACATGAACATGTACTTACGTACGAAGTTCGACGTTGTAACTGACTGACATACGTATTAGTCAAAATGACTTGATAAAATTAGTGGGTGACACATGGAACATTAATATGTTTAAGATTTAAAATAAGATGAAGAATCAACACAAATAGTTCAGTGTGACCAATTTTTAGTTACAAAGTATTCAGTCTGCATTCATATATTTTGAGAAGCCAACCATAATGTAGAGCCTAAAAAGGCATGAGTTGATTGATGCAATAAATCGGCACACGGGTTAAAATGTCATGATGAGCTTCAAGGATAGAGTAATAGTTGTATTCACTATAACAGAAAAAAGGAATGAACAAAAATATGGTCTGAAAATAATGAGAAAATCTGAATTAAAAGTATAAGTTAATATTGGAACTCGCAAGCAATCAAAGATGCATCGAGCTATACTAAATTCGATTAGTTCATGTCAAAAAATCATACCTGCCTAAATCTGCACGAATCAGTGGAAAATCAACAGATATCCTTGTTTCGTCCGGTTCGTGGGCAGAATCATCCTCTATATCTTCAGTATTACTCCCGTGGCCTTCATTACCATTAGAATCAGCTAGATCATCTACTTGTGACCCATTATCACCTTGTTCACTACCAACATCTTGCTGAGAATCATCATCCAAACTACCGGAAGAGGATCGGATATTTTGAAGCCTTTTTTTCAAAGAATTTTGACTATGTGAGTCATCTGAATAGTTTTCAGTTCCATGTTGTTCCGAAGCATTGTCACCAGGTTGATTTTCATGGTCCGATTCTTCGGAACTGTCCTGTAACGATTAGAATTGTCAAATCTTTTAAACTTTATCCATCAAGCACAGAATACAGAGATGTCTTAGCAGAAAATAAAAATACCCTACCAACAATACACCGGCTGATTTTGCTGAATTGATGTAGACAGACAATATCCACACATATGTGGTACCTGAAATGAAGTTCGGTTGTCTATAAGACTATTCAAAGATATTATTACAACCCATGAAGTTCTAACCAAAAGGAAAACTTGGCTGGTGCTGCTGTATGCTGACCGCACGTAGATTTTTTCATTTCCCCGTGGAGAACCTTAGCTTAAAATGTGTAATACATCTAGTAAAATTTCTTGTATTACAAAACCTGTAAGTTACTTTAAAAGATAGCGTTTATAATTGGTTTATTTACACAACCTTGATCCAAACGTTTTGTGAGGATGAGTGGAAATACTAGTGGCCACTATTCTAAATGTTACTACAATATAACTTTTCTCTAGTTTTTCCAGAGATCCAACTCAGTCGTATTTCCAGGGATTTCGAAATTATTGCACACGTTTTGCATGAAAAGCTTGGTGAATTGGAACGTTTGATAGTGATGTAGGCTTGTATGATAAGCTAATGCAACTCTATTTTAAAATTCTAGTTACGATTGTAATTTTAATATCAACATAGACTTATAGCTATGAAAATCACAACAAGTGTATGACTAAGTGTTTTTAAATAAGAAAGTAATAAGCGATCCTTTACTTATTGATTCGTTACTTTGGAAAATGTACTAAGTCGAGCTTTAATGGACAAATTGATGGTCAAGTCATGGCTCTCACCTGTTCAAACCTTGGTAGCTTCTGTTTTGGTTGCACTTCTCTATCACTATCTTTACAATTCAAGGGAGATATGTAACAAAATTATCTAACCAGTATCGTCTCCAAAAACATTCTTCTGTGTTACACGACTTTGTTCCTCGCCATCACTAGATGAGTTTAGGTCAGAAGATTCTTCTCTCTCTTCATCTGTTTGTTTGTAAACTCATGATAATAAATATAGGTTACCAATAGCAGCGCTGGCGTCAGATACATCTGAATCGTAGCCTAACCCCATAATTCAAGGTGACAACTCGATTGAAACGACCGCCTTTCAATATCCAATATCCTTTTTGCGAGCTGGTGTAAAACAATAAATTATTTCGCGCTCCATTCTTATTCTTTCGGTACAGTTCAAGGTGTTCGGTAATGTCCAATAAACGGAGGTCTAGCCACTCGACTGTCTAATTCTAGTCAGTTGGCAGTTGGTTGAGTTTTGAATGAAAACGTTCGTTTCAGGGCAGTAGATTCAGGTTTGTGGGTTGCCGACAGAAGGCCTACGGCCTTGTTGTTGTTTGGTAGCTCAGTGTAAAAACATGTACTGCGCTAATAAATTGTTCTTCCTTAGCTTCCGTACTCATCTGCTATTTCCTTGGAATTTTCTTCAGATGATAGGAAAAGAAGAGGATATGTTAGATCCAAATTAATTTCTTAATGATCTGTTTGCCTGAATTCGATCATCTAATCTATGCAAGGATACTAAAGAGTTCCAGCGTTTTAAGCCAAGCGGTGTATGATAAAACTCAGAATTCTTGCATGGGTAGCTATTCTCTGTACCGTCGTGAACCTATTGGTATCCAACTTGTAAATGTCTATCCTAAAGCCCATAGGGCTCTGAGCTCTATCTGCAACCACATGGCAGTGAGCTGTGGTCCTTATATCATAGCATAATGTTTTCCTAGGGTGATTATGAGACCGAACCACGGGAATCGACTCTGCTCAATGCTGCACCTATTTGTTGTTGTATCGCAAGTGTGTTTGTAAACACACTTGGCCATACTAATAAACATCAGCTATCTTTCGGACCAGCTAACCAAAATATCTAAACTGGTTTGAAGTTCACCTGCTTCTTTACCTACCTTTACTTCTTGCTGAATATTTACGTCATCAGTTTAAAGTAACCTAGACGATTTGAGGACACCTGGGAGAACATTTACCGATGGTAACAAGTAACAAGCTGAGAATTTATTTATATATTCAGCTCGACGGCTAAAGTGATTTTTGGCTCCTGTAACGGTCATCTGAACACAATATCCTATCTAAAAGCACAAGCGGGGCTTCAGAAGGTCTGCCAGGAACACAGAGTTGAAGTCAAAGGGACAAGAAATCTCTGCTTTCTTTTTCTGGGGTAAGATCGCTTAGACAACTTTTTAAAGCAACAAACTGAGCTTGAAGAGACTTCATTTGCTGTATAGAGGCTGAGATAAACTGTACTTTTTGCTCAAATTGACGCGCAGGAACTTGAAGTTGTGGGATTAATCCTAACAGTAATCGACAGAGTACTGGTTTCCAGTAGGAACCCTTAGAACTTGTTTGTATGGATAAATTATCAAGTGCGTTACTAAAGTCCATATCGACAGCATTAAGTGATTTTCCATTATCTGGTGACTGTCCATCACTCTCTTGCTATACGTAGGTTTGTTGTGCATGATAACCCTTTCCCAAAGCCGTGTTATACCAAGGTTGATGGCTAAGTTCTAAGATTCTTCTTCTTCTTCTTCGAGGTTTCCCAAATTTCACATAGAGTAAATCAAAGTTATATATTATAAGGCACTTACCCCAACTTGACCAAGATTTGAGTTTATTTGAGAGAAATTCCTCTTACGCATTTTCTGACCGGCAATAAATTGCAACTAAACCATTATTTCGCCCTTTGCTTTCGAGTCTGGGACGCTCCAGTTCATATGTCCCTGAATCATGTGCTACTGATACAACTTCACTTATGGTTAGGGTGCCTTTAACGTTCAGGACGATCATACTACTCCTGTTGTTTAGTCTGTCAGCCCTGCAAAGTAAGAAACTCAGTACTTGAATTTTCCTATCAAGCAATCCAGAGGCCAGCCATGTTTCTAAAACAATAATTTTATCAGTGTCTTCTGTGCACACCAAGTCTTTGAGCATCCCGAATGTGTTTACTAGTATGCAACCATTCGTGTCGTGTACAGTTAATTTTTCGCAAAGTTTTCTCACCACTTAGAATAGCAAACCGATTGTTTCCATCCAAAGACCTACAATAATCAAATTCCTAGGCTCAAGTTGATTTTTAAGTGGTTTGCATATATTTTTCAGTTATACGTCTTCAGCAAAGTCCCCTCATCTGCGAGCTTGACTAACACGACAAATGATATTACTTTTATTCTGATCAGTACCGTAAAGCGACTATATTTGTTGTAACTGAAATTCAAATGGTATGGGTTATTTTCATGACGAAATTTTGACTGTAACTCAATCACATTTGGTTGGATTATGAGCATCCTAAGCGAATTGCCTGGATAAAACATCTACGATACACGTTTATACAGAGCATAAAGAATATGGGATGTAGTCGAATCCAGGAAGCACGTTTCGTCCTATTTGTGACTCGTCTTTTGCTGGATGTACTTGCGTCACAGCTTTAAAGTTCACTCTAGGACTCGAACCAGGTACTGTCATCAGAACGCAGTCGCGCTATCCATGTAGTTACTGAATTCCACTGTTAGCCACGCACTATCTGCTCCTCAACCATAGGGTTGTTTACCTTTTATAGATAGATTCCGTTTTATTAGTTTTACCTTAAATCCACTACATTTTATCCGAAGTTTTTAGTTGTAACGTTCACACAATTAATAAACAATAGTCATTGTTCATCTACCAGTTTCCGCTTTATTTTCTATATCGAAATAAAAAATATCTTATTTTGTTTCAACTATATCTTTTTATTCTCTGAACGAATATGATTTCTGGAATATCTCATGTCTCAAAAACTAATATCTCACTGCTATGAAAATTGCAGTGTTTTTATGTTACAAGTTTATATATGTTTGTTCCAGGATTCGAACCCGTTACTGTCTGCTTGTAACTCGATTGCGTTATACTCAACGTATTTACTAGATTTCTCTGTTAGCCACACACTATATACTCCTTAATCATAGAATTGTTTACCACTTACACAGCTCACTTATCTCTGCCTTCTCATTTCTTCCTTCAATAGGATTAACCACATTGAGATTAACCAGAACATACACACCTGACCCATTCAGTTTCAGTGGATTTTCCAGTATTATGTTCCTCTCCTTTGCGGAAAAATAACTAACCATTTAACAGACGGCTTGCCTGCATACTTTCCGAATCTACCCACTTTATAATACTGTAGAACTCAGGAATAAAAATTCATGTTGCTGTTTCCGAGTGTAGCTTGCTTAGTAGAGACACAATACGTCTTTGGTCGTATTTAAACCTGTCTTTTGGCTCTTTAAAAGAAAAGTCATAGCTTGTGAAAAATAACTGACTAGTTGTAAAAGGCTTTGAAGTTTTGTTTCCAGGACAGATAGAATGCGTGCAATTTTTACATTTTTCATCCTATTTTCTCGGTGCTACCGTTACCAAAACATCTCCTTTATTTTTTAGTCGAATCTTCTACGCAGTACAGGCCTTCCTACTGTATGATCTGTGTTGAGTCGGGTGCATCTGTCGTGATACCATTTGTAGCAGTTGTCACATCTGAAGCGATCCTCAACCCGAAAAACATAATAAACGGATAGTTTTAGTTTCGAAAACATATTGAGCCCAGGACGCTTTAAATGAAAAACAGCAAACCAAAAATATTTCAACTTTTCTATCTTTTTTTCTGTAAATTAAACTTGGGTATGAAACGAGGCTATATCGTAGGGAGCGGTAAGTAAACTAAATTTTCTTCCCCTCAGAAATTGGTAGATTGAGGTTAATGGTAGATTTTAAACAATGTTTATTTAGTCAAATTCTATCTTTTTGTACAGCTTGTCGGAATGTACTTTCTATTCTAGCTCCACGGTACAAGAGAACCGGACATCTTTGGCATCTGTAACTTGGACTAAATATCCACCTAGCAAATCACACTGCTTTCAAGTAGACTAATCATATATGAAGAGTTGATATGTTGTTCGAAGAATGGACGGATAGGTAACTGAAGAAAATCAAAGGAGAAATAGTGTTGAAAATTATTGAGTACAGAGATAAGTAAGCAAGCAAGGTGTTAGGATGCTAATTAATTGCGGTAATTAAAATTTCTGATAACACATTTACACTCCCTCATCAACTGGAACAGCTGGATGCAGCCACATTGTTACACTCGTCTCTAGAAATGCTCAAAGCTATTACGGGTTCATCTTAGTCGAATAACGAGAGCAAAACAATGGATCAGCGTCCAGGCAGGCTACTTTGATCCCTTGTCCAAAAAATATCAGCAAGAAGTCTTGATATATTGTAGAAATCCTATTCTGCGAACACCCAGCCAGCAAACAATCAATCCAAGAACTCAAATTGCGTTTATTTACACTCTATAGAGAAGTCCTTGTGACAGTCCTAAAAGTAGCGCACTAAAATGGCACAGCACCCAATCACAGCGAAGGATTCTCCTGGTGGGAAATGTGATCTCAAGGTGAACTGATCGTCCCATGAAATAAATCCAAAATAAAGATATTTATCAAGCGAGTTCTGGGAACCTAACATCTTCAACAAACATTTTCAACAAATGAGTTCATATACTACCCTATCAAGAGGTTTAGTTTCGCGATGAAGATGAGTTCACAACTGTCAGAATTCGGTTTATACCCTTCCTTTACATTTCGGAAGCCAGCAACATGGTTATTGCAGGCTTCAATTCAGGTATCGTTCAACAGCACAGGAATAAGGAGCTCATAATTAAAACAAACAGATCTTTCAGCTTTCGAAATACGATAATATAAAATATAATGCCTACATAAAGTAGAGAAGTAAATCCCCGATTTTGACATTATGTAACCGTAAGTGATGCATCTGAATAGTTTGCAACCTTATTGAGAACGTTTGTGTGACAAACTGAAGATACTGTACTGACAATGTTTCGGCACGACTGCACGATCCCCACTCGTAGACGAGCTACAAAGTAGACATTCTCTAACTATTCCCATCTGCTTGATTTGTAGTTTCAGGGTATTCGACAATCACTAGTGTTGATGATCAGTATATTCCTTTTGTGGCTGAGTGAGTTTAAGTAGTCTGACTATTCGAAACTGTTCAAAGAGACAATCTTTCCACATTTAAACACATGTACCAAAGATATATGAGTTTGGTGGAAAAGTCGGTGTCGTGCCAAACAATACACAATTAAATGTTACATGCGATAAGTGCTACTTTTCAATCCGGTGTCCTCATACCATCTCGAGAAAAATGCGGGCAGCTGTAAGGTGTTGCTTACCCATTGTTCAAACAAAACTCCGTTTGCTCAGTCGATGCATCAAGTGCGATACTAACAGGTTCTTCAGTGCCAAAGTGTGCCAATGTAGTTGACTAGGCGAAATGTTCCTTCACTGAGGAAAATGCTTTCTTGGCAATGTTATTCAAGTTTGTGGTTTTCGCATTTCCACATAGTTGGTTGGTGGAGGCAATCACGAAAGACGTGCACCTGAGTATGTAACGTAGGTAAATACCTGCAACCTTATTTGACCTGTGTAGTTGATTGAAACTGTTTGCTACTGAGCAGTCCATGCTGGCCGCCGCCTTATTTTCTATGGGGCAAATGCATTAGGCGTGATTGGGCATAACTTACGGCCAGAAAATGAAACCACTAACAAACAATCTATTATTAGCTCCTACTGACCTCCATTTGCTTGACTCGGCTAGTAGATTATGGTATTGTGGCTGGTCCATGCCAACGATTCGCATTTACATTACAGCCATAGCGATGACACAGTGAACAGGCTCACCTGAAACGTAAATGGTCTTTCTGTAGGTGGCGATGGGTTTTCCGATTACCACCTGTAGACTGAAAGCTGGATCGTGTTTGCTGTTTACTGAAAGGACAATAACCTGTTCATCTAGGTGTATGAAATTGCAAGCTTCATCAGGTCAGTGGTATAATGAAGACGACTCTGTCTACTGGCGACGGTTGTCCTTTATTGTATTCCAAAGAGAGCGTTTTCCGGAATGACTGAAACAGAAGATTTCGGGCTACGGAAATGCAAGGCCTTCAGTACCTTCTAGATTTAACATAGTTGTAGTGGTACTAACACCATTTTGGGTTATCTATTTCTTGAAATCTAGAATCTGATCTTTTTGAGATAAGAAGTGCTCGATCGTTCACCTTTTTGATGAAGTTTTAGGAGTTACGTGAGTGTGTAACGGAGGTTCGCAAACAATATGTAATTCAATAGATTTTTAAAACATTCTATCGAAACTATCATGCATGGTGTATGATATTATTACCTGATAACTTGTTTTTCCCAGTCATTTTATTTTGGTCTTACTATTAACTCTTTGCGCGTTGTTTGTTTCACACGTTATTTTTCGTTAGCTTCATTTTTGTAAGTTAGCTTCTTTATTGACTGTTATTCGGAACCCATAAAGAGATTTTTGATACTTTTAATCATTCAGCACCATGATTATAGCATCATTATGCAGTTTCAGTTATTCTACGAACCTCAAGTAATATTGTGATGTATGATCTGGAAAGAAATTTCGGCATAACTCACAACAATTCAATGTTGGGTTTATTCAAAGGAATTGCGTTTTATCCGTGTAATGGTGATCAAATCTGTACACCTATATTAATGTCCGTAGATCTATACTCTTCGACAAATAAAATTTAGAAAATAACCATGAATTAAACACGTTAAAACACTAAAACCCAAAGACCTATTTCACAAATATCTTGGGAATATCAAATAAATAGTGGGTCAACCGAATCTATGTCGAATAGTTTGACTCATATCTCAACATAAGCAACGTAATGCAAATTAAATCAATCAATCGATCTCAGTATGGAACTCGGTGTGGATGGGGTCTTCTGTTCGTCGTAACATGATATTGACTTTTGGGAATAAAACCCTCAAGGCTTCACCATACTGAATAAATATTTGCTGTTGGCAAGGAAGTTCCCACCTAGATGATGATTTTCTTTGTGTTTTTTTTTTAAGCCAGATAGTTTGATTGCCAAAATTTTATCGAAATTCTAGACAATACCTATAGACTCTACTTACAACAGAAGTAAAATTTTAAGTCGTTCCATGAATGATTCATCTATTCGGTCGCCTGATATTGTTTATGCTCTACTCTCTTAGTACATTTTGATTTCGCTTTTTATTGTATTCACATTGGATGTCTTTGTTAGTTGGCCTTTAACCATGTGATAGATTGACCTCTATCACATATGCTCGTATACGTGACAAATATCAGTAGAGTTGCTGATCCATGGATGATCCGAATTTCATATCATTCGAAATACCCTGTTGTTCTTATTGTTCCGCGAACCAGCCTTTCGGCATTTCTCTAATCAAATTCACGTTCATAGTTGTAAACATTGATCGTTGTTGGTGACAACGTATCATTTTCCTGCTACCAATTTGCATTCGTTCATGGATAAGTGAGGGAGACGACCAGTTTGTCTAGTGGGTATTGTGTTTAGTACATTTTATTTTGTAGATACAGCTGCACTTCTCATCTGTATGGAATGGAATGTGGTGAAGTGTAGTGAGACACTGTAGCAGGTTTTGTCTGCTGCAAAGCCTTTGAACATAACTAGTTGTGTTTGCGATTGCGTTTTTACCTATGCAGATTTTAATGTCTAGTCAGTGCACTTTAGACTTCTGTATGCTTGTATTTTATAGGTACCTTCTTTCGCTCTGTTGACGTGACCGTCAAGATATAATATGTTGTTTTCAGTTTGTTGTCATCAAAACGTTTATGCAACCAATGAATGACTATGTGTTGACTCATTTTCAGGATAACGAATATGTCTTGTACGTAACCTAATTTAAAGGATTCTGGTAATCGTAAAAGCAAACCAGGACGTACTTGTAGCCTAGAGTTTATTGCTCACCTGATTATATAACCAGCTTTTGAACATCTAAATAGTGAGACCTAGGACTAAGTCGGTGGTAGTTATAAATCAGCCAGTCAGTTGTAACGTAGGAACTACCACGTGCGTAAATCAGTACAAGACTCTTTACCCTATTCAGTCAGTCAGCTACAATGTAGAACTTCCTACGTACGTACATACTTAAGTTCAAGTTGCCATATCACATTAGCGTAGAGATGCAATTGTCAATTCAAATCTCATAGTCCTAGAGGCAGTACAAGTACTAGCAGTAATCAGAAAGATCACGGTTCGAAGATATTACTGAAGATATATAATCCAGTGAAATAAATTTGAAAAGAGAAAAATGGAGGTCAATAGGTCAATCGCACTAGAGCACGATCTGAATCTAATCAAGTGGTCTAGAGTGAGCGACAGTCTTCAATACGGCCCTTTCACCGATGGCTGATAGCAATGTGATCTAGTTGGGTCCATCGTTGTGTCGGCTTTGGGGGTCGCCAGGTCAAGAGATGTTTCACCTTATGCTAAAATTTAGTTTGCCAGAGATAAGCGGTTATCTGACCACAGTTGCAACAGACGGTCGACACTGTCGGTTCCCTGAGCAGCGACACCATAAGATCCATCCAGGTATCTTTCTTTTTTATTGAGTCCACCTACTTGAGCATTCAAGTCACCAGCTATTATTACTATATCAGAGCGACTGACTTTTTGGAGGAGTTTAGAAAGCTCTCTGTAAAATTCGTCTTTTACCTCATCTGAACTGCAGTCAGTGGGAGCGTAGGTAGATACGACGAAGAAGCAATGGAGAGTTTCCCTATCTTTCTGAGACCTTACTGTGCCGTTTAGTCGGATAGTGCGTGAGCGACTGTCTTCTGGGATCCACTCTAAGAGAGCTAGTTCTGCCCTACGACGTGATACTTTACCTACACTGGCGAGGTCACGGAAAGCAGCATCAGTGCTTCCAAACACAGGGAGCGTAAACCTAGTTAATTCTCTATCTGGATAAAGTGATATCAAACTGATGATTTTGCTCGGATCCTGAATGCGCGTTCCAGGGACGCAGCACACATCGATGGCGCAGGATTCTAGTATCCTAGCTAAGGAAGTCTGTTGCCCTATTTGACACTAGGTTCGAACATTGAACGCTCGAATATGTAGTTTGGAGTGGGGTTTCAGGAGACCAGGGATAACGTTTCATGAACTCAACTTGTTGCATTAACGGTACTGGGTGATAAAGGAATATGAGAAAAGTTAGTCGTGAAAATGAGGGGGGTGTTGGGGGCTGTGGCAAGGATTTGACTGTGACCCATTCGATTTAACATGCTGTTCCGGATATGAGGGTGGATGTCACTTCCAGGCTGCCCACATTGCGTAAGGGAATTTCTTGAGGAACTTGAAAAGGGAAAGTAGATTGGTGTTGGTCTTAGAGACCTGGGAGAGTGACCGCAGATCCCAAGGGACAACTCCTTGAGGTCGGTCACGCTCGGCCTTTTTATGAAGTTTTGAAATGTTTGCTCATCTCTTGTTTAAAAGAACTTGCCACCGGATACGGAAATCCGTGAGGTGTAAGGTGAGGTGTGATATTTTTAGGGTCGACCTTTTCTAACCTCTTCCTTCCTTGTGAGAAGGCAGCATCGCTGCAGATGCAAGCCGATCTTGAAAGCAATATTTTGCATTTCCAGGGAGGGAATCGCATCCAAAACAAGCTATCATTGTTGCTTAAGGTGGTCAGGAAACTACCTCTTGTCAGTGCATACATCAAACAGAATAATGTCATTGGTGCATACTAAGTCAACAAGGAAATCTTATGATAGGAGGTCAATTCCTGAAAAGTCAGAGTACTAAGATGTTAATTCTGAAAGTATCTGAATGGTGAAGCTAAATAAAAATGGAGATAGCGGAAAACCCTCAACTAACACCACTTGAAGAAATCAATGTTGATGACAGTTCTTAATAACCTCTGACTCGACCAGTCGTGTTCGAGCAGAGTCTGTACAAGACCAATGTACTTCTTTGGTACACCTTTCAATGACACGATTGTGTGCTGTGTGCGGTATCAGGTCAGTTGTCACCTCTCGACTACCACACTATAGGACATTATTTCTTCTTGAGGGACCTGAATGAAAAGCTGTATTTGCGATCAACTAAGTGTCTTAGAAGCGTGATCACAGAGTTCGAACGTAACTGCTTGAGGCCAGTCATGCACAATTTCCTACAGGGAGCTTTTGAATTGTCAACTCTGACATTCTTCTTTATAGATTATGTAAGACCTAACCTCGTTTAGGATAATCAAATACACACGTATATTTGATGTTATTCTGTACCGTTTTGTTTGTCATAAGAGATCTATAGTACATCTGATTTCTATATTTTAACCCAGATATTTGCTTGATTGTGTGATATCGAGATCGCATCTTGGAGTCCTTGATCCCGACAAACCATGTTTATCCCTGAAGACCAAATATGGATGGTCGTTGTCGGTTTCATAATAGCATTTGTTCTTGCTTTTGGAATTGGTGCAAATGATGTGGCGAATTCTTTCGGAACTAGTGTTGGAGCCAAAGTGTTAACACTAAAACAAGCTTGTATTCTTGCTACAATCTGTGAATTAAGTGGCTCTGTTCTTTTAGGTAAATTTAACTTGGTTATATAAACATTAGCATAATTTTTCAGGTGCTAAAGTTTCTAATACCATACGTAAAGGTATTGTTAGTGTCGAACTTTTTAAAACTATTGAAAATGGACATGTTATCTTGATGGCTGGACAGGTGGCTGCTCTTGGCGGTAAGTCTATGAATACAGAATGTTTTCATTGTATAATAAATATTTTTCTGTATTTCGGAAAATAATCACTTATATTTGATCATTGGTTTTCACAGTTACACATGATCTAAACAAATTGATAAGATAATAATAATAATGATAAAAATAGTAGTGTTATTAATAATTTATTTTATGCATATATTGATACATTTTAAGAGGATACTCACTGATTCAAGCAGAATTGTGCTAGAATTTCTTGTTTAATTTGATTTACCTTTAGGTTCTTGTATATGGCTATTGGTCGCTACATTCTTCCGTCTTCCAGTCTCTGGCACACATAGCATTGTTGGTGCAACAATGGGTTTTAGTCTTGTTATTTTTGGACTCAATGCTATTCAATGGAAAGGACTGCTTAAAATTGGTAAGAATTTTAAAAACCTCGAAATAATGAACTGCATAATTACTTGTCCCAATATATTCTTTTGATAATTTGACCGGAATAAACTAATTAGTGGTATTACTGTCACCTTTGATACTGCAGTAGATATTTATTCATATTCATAGTGAGGATCTCAACACTATATGAATGATTAAAATTTGATACTGATCTATAATTTTGTAGTTTGACTCACTTGGAAAATGTTGACAGTGTAAATTTTCATTTGTTAAAGTTATTACTACTATAAATTATTTTTATGAACGAAAGTTATTCCTCTCCTTGTGCTTTAAATTTTTAAGTAACAATTCTCTGTGTAATAGTTTTTTGAATCAAAGTGTTCGTCTTATGGTAGCTATTAGTAAAACTGATTTTCTTTTAATGTGTAGATGATTGTTTGAATCTGGACAACTAGACCCGATTATCTATATGATGTACTGTATGCACTTTAAGCTTCAACAGCGAACTGTAGAGTGTTTAATAAATTCTACTGAGATAGTGGAGAAAATTTGTAGTTCATACATCATTATTAAAATGAAAGAGTTAGAGAACACCCACAATCGGATCAACAATGCCTTTGATGAAAAATTCACAGTGGCAAAGGAATCAAACAACGAACTCTCATTCCTGAATATACTAAACACCAGAACTAACATAGAAAAACTGAACACTCAAGTATTTCAGAAGCCAACCCACACAGATCTAATTCTCAACTACAGCAGCAATAACACAAGAATTCACAAAATCAACTGCGTACAAACTTTATTCATGAGAGCGAAGACAGACAGCAGCACACTTGACGCACAAAAAAATGAAGAAAACTATTTAATGACCATCTTCCAAAAGAACGGCTATCTACACATACCATACCTAAAAGACATATCGCGACTTATAGCACGAATACTGAGACCATTTGGAATAGGTGTAGCACAGAAACCAACAGAATTACTTGAATCAATCCTATGTTGACCAAAGGACAAAAGGGCAAAGGAAGAAAAACCAAAATATCATTTAAAAAATCAACTGCTCAGACTGTGAAAACCACTACATAGGACAAAGTGAACGTTCTCGTCAGCTTCGTTTACGTGAACATCAATTAGCAGTCAAACACCACGACCTCTCTTTATTTATGTCAATACATACGAACAACAATGGACCTACATTAGATTGGAACAATGTTGAAATACTGGATCGGGGGAGCACAAAGAAAACTAGAGAATTTTTAGAAGCTTGGCACTCAGGTCAATCAGCAATCAGCAAACACATCGACATTGACCCAATTTATGAACCACTCAGAAAAGTCATGGGCGACATAGGATGAAGAAACAGATCATAGGGGGATACAATCAAAACAAAGGTGCAAACAACGACAGATTTAAGGTCAATTACAAGCAATCAATGTAGAGCTTTACGCAGTAGGCTACTGGCCAAACGTGGAGAAATTCGAATACTTTACTTAGATCTGAAGTTTGTGCTGATGATGTTGTTCATAAGAACGATGAAAGCTCCACAACCAAAACATCCAGCTCAGAGAACGAAGCACCACTACAATAAGTTCCATGTTATTGTATTCTTATGCTGCAATATAAGATTATGCATAAGATTTTGAAAAGCCAAATAGGAGGTAGAAACTGTGGTAAAATCTAGCAGAGGTTTTTAATCAAATAGTGTTTCCATAATAACGAAGTCATGAAAATTACATTGTGAAGTAGAAAACATCGTTTATATTTTTAATTGTCATTTTTGCAACTACATTCGGATCATAAAGTGACAATATTTAGTTTTTGCCAGTATGAGGTTGTGGAACCGATCTAAGTCAGGTAACCATCAGAAATACAACAGCATTAGATGACCATTTTGTACAGGTATAAAGTCAAGCCGCTTGTTTCTGGTTACATTTTACCTACGTCATTATAATATGTATGGTTTTCTATGTTAGGTAATCTGAATTAATTAGCGTGTTTCATCGCTCAACTCAACAACGACTCCATGTGTTCACTGTGCTGTTTCTACTCTTGACCCGCCTGTTTTCGCCTCATTTTCCTGCTTCGCATTGTTAATGTCTGTTTGTGTGAACAATTGCATGCAATAAACTCATCCAACTGAATCCGTATTTGATTTCTCATCACCACCGTCGTACAATTTGGGTTAGCAGCCTAAGTGTAATATACAGAAAGATTTGTTTTCAAATTTTTTTATTTGCATGTCCTATTTGTTCGTCAATCCGGATCCCAGTCATCTCGAGCCTCTATAGTGTCAAAACATATTTCATATGAGCATCTGCTTCAGGTGGTAAAGATCTCATCATTTCTGACCAGTTGTTTTACTAGTCCATTTATTCTTGTCATGTATTATTTTTTTGATCGAGTTGTTCTAACTCATTGAAAGAATAAAATTTGCAAATCTTCAAATTCCACTGTATTTCACTTTAAATGTTTTTTGTTCCCAGGATTATTATTATTATTACAATAACTACTTTTCATTTGTTGATTTGTTCTTTATTTTGATATTTCGTAAATAATATTTCTTATCATGAGCAAATATTCCTCCCTATTCGTGTTCACTTCAATATTTTTTTTATTTCATACCCTCAAATCAAACGATTAAGTGAATAGTTTTAATTGCTGAATTATATTCTCAAAGACTTCAACAAATATAAATTTCACCTAATACATAATGTTTATACGCAAGCCATAAAACTTGACTTCATCATAGTTTACATAATTACTATAACAAATTAAGTTTTTGAATATAGATGACATAAAACAAAACGAAAATTAATCATTAACAACGGAATTAAATCTATTCCATTCTAAGGAGCACCAAAGAGGAATAATAACCTTATACAACCTCTCTACTGAAACACTACCGTCGAGTCAGAGCTTATGGTGAAATATCATCAGAATTGATTACTTCATGCAGTGTCCGTCACGGATGTCCACTTTCTCCATCCCTAATCGACCTCGTCATTGACGTGCTTTTAGATACGACACTTGCATCATCTGACCTTTCAGGAGTTGAACTTTTACTGCGAGATTCACTTGTTAACTTAGAATATATCGATGACATAATTCTACTTGGTGAAGGCGCTGACAAAATGCACAGTCTGTTTGGTCACCCAAACCTACAATACAAGCATGTTCAGAATGCGATTCCCTACCTCCAAATGCAAAATGTCGTTTCACGATTGGCTTGCATCGGCATCTGAATTAGTGATAGGGAGTGAGGTAGTTGAGAGTGTCCGCTGCTTCGCTTATCTCGCCAGTCCCATCTATGCAGATGGCCTATTGTCTGGCGAGATCTCAACACGCATACAGAATGCTCGACTGGCTTTACCAACTTGCATCGTTTATGAAGCAGGCGAGATATCCGTCTGCTAACCAAAGGACCAGTGTACTGCATAGTTGTTCGCTCCGTCCTACTATACTGGTGCGAAACTTGATCAGTAAGAAGCGAGGATATTCGTAGGCTATCATAATGACTTCGAAGCATTGCTCGGATGTCATGAAGCCACCGAGTAAGTAATGGTGGTGTTAGGAAACGGGTTCAAGTTAAAGATAGCAAATGAGTAGATAAAGTAGTGAAACTTTATCAGTCGATGTGGTTGGGACATGTGATACGTACGCTTAACCACAGACTGCCTCGACGACTAATGTTTTGTGATGTAGGAGCGGACTGGAGGAAAGCTAGAGATGGCCACAACGAAACATGGCACAAATCCATCAAGTCATCGACAAGTTATCTGAGTCATGTAGGTAGGTGCAGACTACCTGGTTGGAGTCCATGGGATGATACTCACCGATGGTTAGAGACTTTGAATGACATGGTTCAAAGTCGTTTGGAATGGTGAGGTGCATCCATAATGCGTCTTCTCAAATTCTCATCTTCCGAATTCCTATTGACCTCCATTTTTCTCTTTTCAAATTTATTTCACTGGATTATATTTTTTCAGTAATATCTTCGAACCGTGATCTTTCTGATTACTGCTAGTACTTCTACTGCCTCTACCACTATGAGATTTGAATTGACAATTGCATCTCTACGCCAATGTGATATGGCAACTTGAACTTAAGTATGTACGTACGTACATACTTATTAAGCGAGCATCACTTGTAATAATCATTGATTTTAATATAAACAACGTTTATTCATTTATTTTTATTTTGTTTTATTCATTTTCATTTAGTTGGATCATGGTTTCTCTCACCTGTTCTAAGTGGTTTGGCATCTATTGGAGTATTTTTCCTATTGCGTGTTCTGGTGCTCAGTAAAGTAAGTTTTTAATTATTGATGAACTGCATTGCATTGGATTTCATGGGTCATTATCATTAGGATATCGGTCATTACTATCATGCTTTTCAATTAAATTTTCAAATTTCGATGCCTTATAATGAAACTAGTTCTGTTATTTATGCTCATAAATATTTTCTTCTTATTGCTGATTACACAAATGTGATTATTGTGTTTTATATTTTAGTAAAATTATAGTATAAGCAAATCTTTACTACTGTGATAAACTGTTATATGTGTCAAATGTCACCTCAAAGCACAGTTCTCTAACATCCTGTTGTCACTTATTTTGAAAGTCTACTCCTTGAAACCTGTTAATCCATGGATAAGTTATTTGTCTTGGTTTGGTTATTTTATGAATCGTTCATACCCACTAACAGTATGACTGTTGTGATGAAGATACTCAATTCATTTACCTTAATTTTTGGTGTGTAGTCATAGTGAGTTAGTCAGTCATTGTGGATGTTTTTTTCTCGATCAACAATAATATAGTTTAGTCGGTTGTTTCAGCTAAAGCTCGACTGATGCTTTGACGTTAGTAAGGATTACATACTGGTTTTATCCTGATTGCACAAACATTTCCTGAAATATATAGAAAAACGGTCTGTGATATTTCTGTATATACATTATGCTGTTTTCACTTCGATATATCTGATTTATTGTGCAGGTTTCATTTCAGCAATCTAAAACCTTTTTTTTATGTTTATTACAATGAAGCAATTGTCCTTGACATGCTATTCGATGACAGTTAAAAATTGAACACAATTTTATACACATGATAAAATACTTGGTTGTTTCTAGACACTTAAACTTTTGAAACCTTTAAACATCGTGATCTTTCTTAACCTACTGACTTAAATTATTTAAACATAAATATAAAAAAGGTATTTTGAAATTAATATGTAACTCTATGCTATTTGTATTGAAGCGTCTTGTTTTTAATGTCCATTTGTTTCAAATGTTTGTATAGATATGTAAGAAATAATTAAATTCTCATTCTGCCCATCACTGTCTACTTTTTCATTTCAATATTTCTTAATCAGTTTTAGCGTCGTTTGCACTAACAACGTAGGTAAATTATATGTACTAATTAAAAATGGAATTCATTAATGTTTTATTTTAACAGGAATAGAAATAATGCTTAAAATAGATGATGTATGTTTTCAGTTCCAAAAAAGTCAGTGATTTACATTTCTCAAGTCTTCATACCTCAGTAAAACAATAAATGACAAAGAAGTTAAAATAATATTGTAATAGTAATGAGAAAAACTAAGTTTTAAGCATGTGATTCGATTCGCCATATCTACCCTCAACATCACTCACTCAGCCATTCCATGTTTGATGAACAATGCTTTGAAGACCCTGAGGTCAAAATCCTGCATTTTATGCATGTTTAATACACTCAAAGTATATGTTTACCATCATAGATTAATAAATATTAAACTGTTACTTAGCGTCCTGGCTCTTTGGTCCGTAGACAGGCATCTTGTCTACTCCACAAGTGACACAAGTTGGCAAAGGTCAACCAAAATTTCTGAACGCATGCCGAGGTTAAGTTGTACACCAACTCACCAAGGATGATGAAACTTATAAAATAAGTGAAATGATTAAACCACTCAACTACTTTACTTCCTATCATTAGTTATCGATGAGTAAAAACATAATTTATAGAAACTAGCCAGTTTATTTGCCTTTATTTCCCTGGCGCTGTGTAAAATTGAATTTAATTCTGAACAACAAATTTCTGTAATACTTTACAAGATAATTATGTTTTGTTTTGAAGTATTTATTGTGTCTGAATCCGTAGTCACTATGTCGTCTAAATTGGTTATCGATTGATTGGTGAATAAAATCAATCATCTGAAAATCATGATATCTTCACTTTGAGTAATATTTTTTTACGAGGCTTTTAGTAGATAATTACGGTCATAGATTTTAAATATTAAGAGGAATATTTTATAATAATGCAGTATTGATTTCTCATAATAGTTTGAAAAGAAGGAAGGTAAATCATTTATTTTATACCTTTAATCAAGATTAATAATCCATAACCGTTATTTTTTCAGAATGTAAAGTCGATTGTTGGCCTCTGTTAACACGAGTGATTCACATTCATTCATACTACTGTTTATTGATTTAAATAAAAATACTTTTGATGTCTACCTTGTATCCCATGTCAGGCACAACACTTAAGTGGGTTCATTATGTTTTGTGAGTAGTTGTCTCTCTGATTTCACTAAGTAACATACATGTAAACTGATTAGGGATGTTCGCCTTAATAAGTCAAGGTTACTTATGTTGCTGGCCACTATAGGATTTAAATCAACAATTGCATCTCTGTGCTATCGTGGTATGGCAACTTGAACTGGTGTACGTACGTACGTACAAAGGTTTACATTGTTGCTGACTAACTTATGTTACTGAACCAATTTTAATATAAAGGTGAAGTAATTAGGTGTCAGGCAAGTGCTATTCGGTACAAAATTATTCTATCAACTAATCTTTCTTTGATATAACTTTTAATGCTCATACATGCCCTTAATCAATTACCGAGATATGGTCCACTAGTTCCGCGTAAGCTTTATTGACATCCTGACCTTCACTTAACCAATAACACGACCCTATCGACAACGAGTGAGCGTGAGCAATGATAACGAAGACCTTTATTCTTATTGGTCAAAGACAGAACTTATCTCATACTCAAAACCAATCAGAAGTCGAATATTTAACCCGAACAACCAGTCTCTATCAAAATAAATGCTCATAGTCTATGCATTTATTTCCAGGCCACCTCACATCACAGGTTGGAAATCATAGTTTGTAAATAAGGAGACCAAAAGTGATGCGAAGCTGCGTAATTAGTCAGCTATTAATTAACAATGATTTAGGACTGGTAAAACATCTATCGACTGTTAATGTTTTAAATGAAAGTTTATCAATAGAAAAATAGAAAAAATACCATAAACCAGTTAAAATCACATAATGAAGATGGAGCTGATTATTCACTAGATTGTAGTTCCAAATTACCGAATATTGGCTCGTATATAAGACTGTTGTGATTTCATCATCCGTCCAACACTATTCGATTTATTAAAGGCTTCTTCTCAGGTTGTTTCAAATAATCGAAGATAACTTTTCTAAACAGATCTCTCGATTATTATGCATTCCGAGTCATACTTCATAAATGAGAAAAAGTGTTTATGATCTTCATTTTAGAGTTGTAAAGATTGTTGAGTTTCATTAATATGGACTGATCATTGTTAGATCACTATCAGTAATCTGGCAGCACTGGACGGCCGTTTCATCGTAGTGTGGGACTGGTCAGCAGCTCGCATGCATGATCCCTGCGAGCGGGGATAGAACGCAGGACCTTCGTTGTCGCACGCGAATGCTTAAACTCTAGACCATTGACCCGGCATCCAACAGTGTGAATGTCTAACTGTACTCGTACAAAAACGATTACTTCTGATTGCAATCATATATATATAAGCATCTATGTATATATAAGCATTTTATCTTATTTTATCAAAAAATCACTTTTCTGACTAATGGCACTGTCTATGATATCAGTTCGTCAATGGGGCTTTGTGGCAATCGGCTAGTTTCATCAATGGTTAATACTTGATCATATTGCTCTTTATGCCTATCATATAACTAATACAAACTTTATTCACTAAATAAATCTATGACCACAATTACAACAGACTTACATTTGAACAATAATCCAGTTCCATAATTCATAACTAAAGGATGATAATTGTTACATAGTTATCCTAAAAAAAAAATTACCTATTGTATATCCAGTTGGTAATTTAAATATATTGTTAATTTTAAACAAAGCTGTATTTTCCACTAAAATGATAAGCTTAAATACTTAATTTATAATACTTTCATTAATAAAATGTTACTGCAATCACATGCTGATGGTACATGTCATTCTTATTACGCAATAAATACTGCGAATACGACATATATATATATATATATATATTATTGATTAAGAAGTGATCTTACAACAAATACCTTGGTTATAAAAAAAAACGAATGGAATTACATTTATTACACTTATTTTTTGTGTTAATTTTTCAAAACATTTTGACATGAACTAAATCTTGATAAAGTTAATATTTGTATGATTTATTTTATCTCGCACATTCATATAAAATTCTGCAATAACCAATATACCTAGAAAATAACGATGAATATTTATTTATTACAGTTAGAATGTTTCTAACCTGAATCGAATGAATTATGTGAATCATTCTAAGCAACCAATAAAAATGTATTCTTCATTGAATCAATCAATTAATCAATCAATCAATCATATAGAATACACTTGTAAAATTATATAGTTAGGCTTTTTTTTTTAATTATTTTGCATTAACATGAATCAATTATTATTGATGTGAATTCGACAATTGTACTGTTTGTTCATGTCTCTTAGTTACTGTAGAACATTTCATATTTTGTCATAGTGAACTTGACATTTGTTATTTCATCACATGTACTTAAAGTACATAGGATTTGTTTTTTTTTTTGAACATTATTTACTGAGTTCACAAACCAAAAAATATATAAATTTTTCACATCTTTATTTAATTGTGCTATTTTTCTTTTGAATGATAACATTTCATGTTTACGTTTTTTGAATATGGTACTGTAAAAAGAAAAAAAAAGAAAGAAACACGATCATATAAAAAAAAACTTTAGGATTTGTTTTCCGGGTATTTATTACCTATGTGTAAAATATTCCAGTGTAAGATCAATTCGATAGTTTTATCATTGTGGGCGGTATTCATCATTTGAAAGAATTAATATGGTTGAAAAAACAAACAAACGGTTTCACATCCACTTTTCTGTTTGTTTTGTTATGTCAGCTAAGAAAAGTACCAGATAAACGCATACTGTCAATCCAATAAACACCGGCTCAGTGGTCTAACGGTTAGGGCGTTCGCGCACAATACCGAAGGTCCCGGGTTCGA